ATAAAGTGGAAAACGGAGGAAATAATTTATCTAATGGATAGAAATAAATTATAAATCTTTTAAGAATTATTTTAAGGGATACTGATATTATTTGCTTAGACGAGGCTACGTCTAATATGGACCCTTAGACAGATTAGGAATTACATGATTAGTTATTTAAACTGGCAGAAAATAAAACTCTTTTAGTTATTACTCACAGATTAGAAAATATAGATAAATTTGATAGAGTTGTCGTTTTGGATAATGGAAGTATTGTTGAATGTGGACATGTTAGTTAACTAAGATAAATTAAAGACGGATTTTTTAATAGATTATTAAAACATTGAATAAAATATAATTACTTTATAATAAATATAAGATTATTGAAAATTAAAAAAAGATTAAGAACTTAAAGAATTATCTTAATATATAATCTTAAATTTTAAAATAATCATCCGTATTTAAATATTCAAATTTTATTAGATTACTTTAATTTTTTTTTTTTTTTTAAATAATATATTTAAGATAATTTTTTAAAGGATTTTATTTTTTTATTGAATAAAAATAAAAATTTAAACTTCTTTTTTAACTAAAAATAATTAAAAAAAAAATGAAAGAAAAAAGTATATAATGTATAAATTTTTTATATTTTAATTTAATAAATATATTTTATAAATCTCTATCCAAATATACTTATTTATTTAATAAATATAAATATTTATCTCTCTCTTTCTTTCTTTTTTATATTATTGAGGTTTTTATTATTTAAAAATTTCTCAAACATTTTTTATTTCGTATCCATTTTCATATCTTTGTAAATTAATAATTTTATATTCTTTTACATTTCTATGAGTAGCATTATACATATATGAATATCTGGGTTTGTAAGGTGCCCTTTTAGTTTATATAAATAAATGATTTTTTAAATTATATACCAAATATCCTTTTAATGATATCTATTTCTTAAATTATCGATATAATCTTATCCTTTGTATGCAAATGCTTCATCTTCAAGCATTTCTCTTCTATCTTCTAAAGCACAAATTCTAAAATTATTATTTTATATAACAAAAATTAAAATAATATTATGATTATTACCTTATATCATTCATACTTTAGAAAAAAGGAGCTACTTTTCTTTAATATCCTTTTAATTCCTAATCTCTTCGCCTAACAAACAAATAAAAATATAATTAATATATATCTTTTGTTGAATAATTAATTAATTATATATATATATAATCATATATATATATATATATATATTCCATAAAATAAAGTAAAATTCAATTAATTTTTTTGGTTTTTTTTTTTTTTTAAATAATTGCTAAAAAAAAGTATATTAATAAAACCTTTGGAATTTTTAATTCAGCTATTTTTCCCATACCCCAAAATTAACAGAATAAACTTACTGCTACTAATAATTTGGCTTTTCTTCCTGGAATTCTTCTACGGTCAGGAAATAAACTGGACCTTTTTTCTTCTACGTCTTTAATTGCTTTATGGAAAGGTGAATGTGCCATATCATATCTTCGAAAGATTTGCTATGTTATAATATCAGGTCTTAATAATTACATATTTTTTTTAAAAAGAATATTAGGCTTTTTTTATTTTTATAAAATTTATATATAAATATAAAAAATTATAATATTTCAATATTTAATAACAATATGTTTTTTATTTTTTATACAATTATATACTAAAAAAAATTTATTGAAAAATGAAAAAAATAAAAATAATAATAATATTTAATGGTATTTTTTTTTTGAAATGATTTAATTTTTAAAAAATTTAATAAAAATACTAATAAGTGATAAAAATATATTTTTCCTTTAAAATAAAATAAATATTTAATAATTTATTATATTTTTATATTTATATTATATATATATATATATTTTATAAAAAATTATTAAAAACTTTTAGAAAAATAAATAAAATTTAAATATGTTTTTTGTTAAAAAATTTTTATTTTTTTGTTTTTTTTTATTTTTAGATATTAATTTTTACATTTTATTTAAATAAAAAATAATTTTTATTATCAATTTTTTATATATATATATATATATTTTTAAATATATTATATATTAATAATAATTCATTATATCAAGAAAATATTTCCATATATTTTTTATTTATTTAGTCTCTAAAAAAGGTTTACTTTTATATTTAAATATATATTTTTTTATTAAGAAAATCAAATAATATTTAATATAAAATAGAGTAAATACATATATATAAAATATATTTATTTCTAATTATTTTAAAAATAAATTTATTAAAAGAAAAAAAATTTAGTATATTAATTATTAAAATACAATAAAATAAAAAAAAGGAAAAAAAAAAAATAAATGGAAGAATTCCAGAAATAAAATCAAAAATAAAGTACATTAGAAATAACAAAGACTATAAAATTAAATATAAACCGTTTTTGGCGCTAAAATAACATAAATTTAATAGATTAAACTAGACATTAAAAATAAAATTCGAATTTATTATCTTTATTAACTAAATTTTAGACATTCCATAACTTATATGCATAAAATTATACTTAAATTTTATATGAAGAGGCTTCTGAAGGTGATATATCCCCCAATTCCGAAAAAAGTGATTCATCAGATCATGAAAGTAAGAAACATATTCAGATATTACCGGATATTTAAGAAATATATAAATATTTTTTTGATATAAAATCGCATAAAATAGTTTCTGAGGAAGATAAAGAACTCGAAAATTACATAGGAACACCAAAATTATATATTGAAGATGTAGAAATGGAATGTGATCCTGATAAAATATATCAAATAGTTGTATCTTTAGCAAAATTAAATGCTTAAAAAAGCCAAAAAAAAACAAAAAAAATAACAAATTTTTCAGTTTTATTTATTGAAGACATTCGGGTATTAATATTTGAATTTTCATCTAAAAAGATAGCACTAAACACATATTAAAATATAAAAAAATTCTAATAAAAATCTAAATTAATTCCTTAAGAAATAAACTTAAAATGGGCATTAGATTAAAAAGAATTAAAAGAATATCAGATAAATTACTATGCATGTATAATGAGAAATTTACCGTAAAATTTAAATGGAGAAATTATAAAAAGATAATTAAAATTAAAATATTCTAATTTAAATATTAGAAATATAGAAGAACCTGTACTTATAAAAAATTAATATACAACAATTATATAGTTTTTTAATTTGGAAGATGCTGAGTTTATATGTTCTGTTATAAATAGATAGTATTTTTTTGATAATGAAAATTTAAATAGAGTAAATGAATAATATATAAATATATATAAATATATATATATATTTTATATTATATTTTATAAATATTTTTAATAATAAATATAAATATAATTATTAATATTTCTTTTTATAATTTAATTAGTGTAATTTACATCCTTTATGTAGTTTGATTAGAAACGAAAAAATTTAATAAAATAAAAATAATATTTTTTATTAAATGCCTTTAAATATTAAAGAATTAAAAATGAAGAAGATCCGTTTATAAAAAAATTGGCTTATCAGTGATGATGAATATTTAGAATAAAATGGAGAATTTCAATAAGAAAGTTAAATAAAATTAAAATAAAAATATTCAGATGATTCTTTATTAAGTGAAGAGGAAAGTTTTGATGAATTCAGATATATTTATTAAGAAAAAAAGGCTGTTAAATAATCTAAATTCTATACAGTTTAGAATATTTAAAAGGAAGACTTTCCTAAAATAAATCTATTAGAATTAAAAAATAATAATAATAATTAAAATAAAAATAATCTTTTTGCATTAGCTTAATTATAGAATATAAATAATGTAATGAATTTATAAATAAATAATAATTAAATTATCAAAAACAATGAATAATAAGATAATAATAAATAAAAAATATAAAATATTTCTACAAAAAATAATAATTATAATATTAATAACAATATTTAAAGTTTAAATAAAAATATATAAATAGTTAATATTTAATAAACAATATAATAAAATACAAATAAATAATAGTAAAATAAATAACAAGAAATTATAAATAACTAACTCATTATTTAATAAACATAAATATAAGCATAAAATTAAACATAATAACAACTATAATTATAATAATAATAATAATAATAATAATAATAATAATAATAATAATAATAATAATAATAATAATAATAATCATAATTATAATTATAATTATAAGCATAAAATTAAACATAATCGTAATAATAATCATAATCATAATCATAAGCATAAACATTAAACATAAACATAAACATAATCATAATCATAATCATAATCATAATCATAATCATAAACATAAACATAAACATAAACATAAACATAAATATAGACTTAAACATAAAATACTACTATTGAAAATAATAATTAAAAACATAACGGTATAAAATCTGAAATAAAAAATACAATAAATAATAACAATATAGATAAATAGTAAATAAATACTAGTAATAATTAAGGAATTTAAAATAACAATTAATAAAAAGATAAAAATAAATAGATTATGATTTGTACAAATAATAATATTAATATTAATAATAATAATAATCATAATCATAATTCAATAAATTTAAGTAATTCATAAACAAATATTTAATAAAATACTCAAACATAATAAATAAATAAACCTTTTTTAAATTATAATTAAGTTTCAACATAACTTTTATAATAACCATAACTTTTCAAAGAATAAAATAAAATTTTATTTAATTCATCAAACGTTTAAGCATAAAACATTAACTTTAATTACTAAATTTAAGAAAACATTCCCATACCTATTTAAAATAAATAAAACCTTCAAATATATGAAACTTTACCATAAAAAATTATAAAGACTGAAAATATTGCAAATTAATTAATTTAACCATAATTACTAAATTCAAACTAATAATCTTTATTAAATACAAGCTAACCATAATTATTAAATAATAACTAGTAAGCGTTATAAAATGCAAAATAACCTTCTTTATTAAACACAAAATAAAATTCTTTAATGAATACAATATAACCTTCTTTGTTAAATACAAACTAATAATCTTTATTAAATAATAATTAATCATTATTAATTAATAATTAACCTTAATTAATAAATATAAATTAATCATAAATATTGAATTAAAACTAATCTACTCTATTAAAATAGTAATAATAATTAATAAATAATAATTAACCTAATTTATTAAATGCCAATCAATAAAATCTACATTATCCTTAATAAATAATATACCCTTAATAATAAAATTAGTTTAAAAATTTCTAAACTAATACTTAACAATAAAATATTTTATATTAATAATCATAACTATTAATATAATAAAATTAGTAGTAATAATAACAACAATAATAATAGCAATAATAACAACAACAACAATAATAATAAAAATAATAATAATAATAATAATAATAATAATAATAATAAATTAATAATAATAATAAAAATAAAATTAATTTATGTAACATATGCTATTTTATCCAAATAACTAGCATATTTAACAAGATTTATTAGTCGATAATATACCTATTCCTTCTTTCTTGCCAAAAGAAACTTCTGTTAAAAAATTAAATTAAGAACCTAAACCTCCATCTGAAACCCCACCAAGAACGCCTTCTATTTCAGGACCAAAGACTCCTTAATCTATTCCTTCTCCACCTTCACCACCTCATGATATTTGAACCGTTTTTATTTTATTTTATATAAATAAAATATATAAATATAAAATTTTATATAAATAAAATAATTTAAATATACATATATATATATATATATATATATATTTATATAAATATATATAATTATATATATTTAAAAAATTAATTCTATTATTTAAAAAAAAAAATTATAATTTTTTTTTTAAACTTTATAATAATTTATTTTATATAATATTTACAATAATTAATATACAATATATAATTAATAAATATATTCCATTTATAATTAAAATATCTAATATTTTTTTTTATTTTTTTTTTTTAATAAAAATAATTAAATAAAGTAATTCGGACTATTTTGAAAAAAAAAAAAGAAGAAAAAAGATGATCAAATTTTAATTAGTAAGTATCTTTTTTTTTTTTTATTTAACTTTTTTTTATTTATTATATAATTTTAATTATATAAACATTTGTAAAAAAAGAAAAATTAACATTTAAGATAATATTTTTATTTATAAATAAAAATATTTAAAATTTATTTTAAATAATATTTCATAATTAGAATACTTAATATAATATTTGTTTTTATCATTTTTACAAAAGGCAAAAATTAAATATTTAATGTTAATTTATCCAATATAAGAAAATAAAAAGTTTATATATACATATTAAATATAACTTTACTTGAGATACTTGAAATATAAATTATTTATTTTATTGTAAAAAAATAAATAAAAAAAAGAAACATTATATTTATATAAATATTAGTTATTAATAAAAATATTTATTTTTAAGTTTTTTATAGATACATAAACGATAATCCATTATTTTATCATTCAGAATGTTTTAAATTAATTATATTGAATAAGGTATTAAATATTATATATATATTAAATTCTTAACTAATAATAAAATAATGTAAAAATTATATAAATCTAAAAATAAAATGGTAATTAAAAAATAATTTCTTTAAGGTTTTTTATTAAAATAAAAAAACATAATTTATTCAAATAATTAATTTTATGTTTTTCAATCCATAATAAAAGTTTATCTATAATTATTATAAAAGCTCGAATTTTAATAAATAGTTTTATTTATATTAAAGAATATATAATGTCCATAAAAAAATTAACCATCGATATATTCTAAATAAACTATATATTAAAAATTATTTTTTAAAATAATAATAACTTAATAATAATATTTTTTTTAAAAAAAATAAGTTAAAATTATTATATAAAATAATATTATATTTATGCTTTTTTTAAATATAATTTTTTAAATTTTATTAAGTTTAAATTTATATAAAGAAATACTATATATTATAAATAAAATAATTAATATAGTTTCTTATTTAAAATTTCTATTAAATATATTCTTTTTAATTAATAATTTAATTTAATAATAGCAATAATTCTTTTTTATTAATAGTTTTAATAAAGTATTTTATTATATTATATTCATTTTTTTTTTAACTTTATTGAAGAAAAAAATATTTATATAATAATATAATTAAAAAACTAAAAATTATAAGAAATATATTAAAAAATATATATATTTATAAATATCTATTATTTATTTTAATAAAATATGTATTTTTTTAATTTTATATCAAAATTAATGTTTAAGTATTTAATATATATATATATAATCTTGTTTTTATAGTCATTTTATTTTGTTTATCTGAAAATTATATATTAAATTTTATTTTACTCTAAATTTAATGATTTTAAAAAAATAAAGTAAAGGTTTCTTATTATTATTGATGTCAAAATTTTATATTGTAAATAAGAAAATTATGTATCTTTTTTATTTGTTTTAATATTATTATTTTAATTATTATAAAAATAAATTATAAATTAAAATATATTACTTATTTAGATAAAAAAAAATTGATTAAAATAATAATTTATAATTTTATATTATAAAAATAATATAAAATATATAAAAATTATGTTTTAAATAAAATTTATATTATTAAAATATTTAATAAGTATATTTATTTTAATATAATATACAATATATAATTTAAAATAATTAATATATTTTTATATTAATTCTTCAAATAAAAAAAAATTATATATAATTTTAATTAAAAAAGAAAGAAATTATTATAAATAATATAATATAATAATATAATTATTTAATTAAAAATTACAAATTAGTTAATTATCAAATATAAATATTATATTTATATTATATAAATAAATAAATTCAAACATAAGAAATATTTATAAAATATATTTATATTATTTATTCGTAATTTAAAAGAATCAATTAAAAAACACTAGAAACTTTAATATACCGACTATCAACTTTAAATTCTAATAATACTAAAAATTATAAAAAATAAACTAAATAACATTATCTAAAGCAAGGCTTAAATTAAAAAATAAGTTATATAAGTGAATAAAATCTAGAAGTAGAAATCGAAATATTTGAAAATTCATTATAAATGAAATTCAATGATTATTCCCATCTTTAAAAATGTTTCAACAACATTTTCGACGATTTAAAAGCTTTATAAGAGTACTCATTAAAAAAAGAAAATCTAAAAAAAAAAAGGAATTTAAAGAAGAAACTAAATCCCTAATTATCAAAAGAAGACTTTAAAAATATTTAAATATAGCCTAAAACATTAGATAAAAAAAATAATAAATACATGAGGAACCCGATAGCCAAATAATTAATCACAATCAAAAAGTTGATTAGGATTTATTATTTAGTATGGACTGTACAGATTCAATGCGAAATTATATAAATATGTGCCGAACAGAACTATATTTAATAAATGAGAATATAAAATAATAATTTAAAAATTCTACACTTAGAATCAGATTTTTAGGCTTCCGTGATTTTGAAGATGAAAATAATTTGGAAAATTACGAATTTACAAATGAATATGATAAGCTAAAAAATTTCATAAATAAAATACATGCAGTTGGTGGATAAGATAAAGCTGAAAATATTGCCGGTGCTTTTTAATAAGCTTTATAATTAGATTGTAAAAGTAAATACAGATACGCTGTTTTAATAGCTGATGCCTATCCACATGGATAGAAATACAGTAAACGATAAAATAAAGATAGGTAATAAAATATTATAATAAAAGTAAATATTAAAAATAAATATATATATATATAAATATATATATATTTTTATATATATATTTATATATGTATATACATATATAAATATTTTATTATTTATGTATATATCCGTATGGTGATCCTAATGGACTTATTCCAGAATAATTATTAGTCTAAATCTGAAAAAAAATATAATTTTTAACCGATTAAATATAAGTTTTATTTTAAACTAAATGTACGATATTTTTCTCAAGTTATTTTAAGATAAACGGGAAAGAATATACAACTTTTAAAATTAAATTATGAAGGTAGAGCAATCGGAAATATCGAAAAAAATACCTTCACAAAGGCTATTTCGACTTCAGTCACTAATACTATCACTTAGACTTTAACTTTGAAAAACATAAAAAGTTAAAAGGATATTTTTAACTCTAAAGTAATGAAAATTATTATTAATAATAGAAAATTCGAATCTAAACTTACAAAAACAGTCCAAATTTCACATGTATCAAATTATAGTTTTTAAAGAAATAACTCTGATTCTGATTTTTCATATAATGATATTTACTCTTCTAATTATGATAGTAATAAAGAAGATGATGATATGAATAATAGTTTTGATGATAATAATAATAAAAATAATATGTAGTAATAAAATAACTTTAGCAATATAGAAGAAGTCAACTTTAATAAAAATTAATTTTCATTTATAAAAAATCTAGAATTAAAGAAAAAAATAGACATCCCAGATAATATTATACAAGAACAAATTTAAGAAGAGGATAACGAAGAAAATTCTGACGAAGAAAAAATGAAAAAAAACAGAATAAAACTTAGAAAAAATCTAAAAACAAATTTCTTTAAAAAATGGAATATGCAATATAAAAGCAAGAAGAATAAAAATCGTTAAATGGAATAAACCCATATATATAAAAAATAAATGAAAATTAATAGACAAAATCTTATTAATCTATATGTTATAGTTTCCATATAGACGATTCTCAATAAATCAATTGGGAATAACCTGCTTTAATTTAAAATGAAATACAAACAGTGCTTACAGTTGAAAAAGAACATTTTTCAGAAGGCGCAATGAGAAACGCTTATAAAGCCTCTGATAGAGATTTTAATATTGATTTAGTAGCAAAATTACATAAAGAATTTAAAATGAATAAAAATTTTCAATTTTTTAAAAGCGAATTAACTGCCCTTATTTTAGCTTCCTTTTTCTTAACTGAATTTAATTAAAGAATTCTTCATGCTATGGAAATAAGTGAATTAGTAATATATATATATATATATTACTTTTTGTCAATTAATTATTCATTTATTTTTTTGTTTAAGCAAAAATAAAACTCAATTAAAAATAAAAATTATATAATAATTTTTTTTTTTTTTTTTCAAAACAAAAAAACATTATTTATATTTTTATTAAATACATATATAACCGCCTTAAATACTAAGATTTGTCGATTGTTATTTATATGAAGTTCGAGATGGTGAAGATTAAGACATCTACTATTAATACTCTGTTGAAAACTGCATGAAAGGAGATTTTCAAAAATAAAATAATAATGCAGGATATGTTATAGACGGCGATTAAAGGAAAGAATCATAATTAAGTTAAGCTTTTTCGCATTTTACTTGGTAATATTCTCAAGGACATTGCATGGTAGTTGATTTATAAGGAACAGAAGATGGGTAATTGACTGATCCATAAATTCATACTCTAAATAAGTCTAAAAAATTCGGTAAAGGAGATTTAGGTTATGAAGGTATACTAAGATTTTTTAAAACTCATTAATGTACTTCTTTTTGTAAAGAACTTTAGTTAATAAATCCAAGGTTTTAAAGAGATTTATCACCTAAATATTAATTTAAAGATTTTATTTAACTCTAAGAAATTTAAAGGGCTAAAATTATTCAGTTAAATAAAGAAATACTAAATATTTAAATTTTATAGGAAGAATAAAAAATTATTTAAAAAGAAGAAAATAATAATATTAATCGATTATAAATTCAAGAAGAAACAGATTTTTATAAAGATAAAAATAAATAGGAATCAAATCTTGAAATTAGTAAAAATGTAAAAGATTTAAAAAAGAATTACCAAAAAATCGAACGAATTAAAAGTCATAATATAGAAACTATTAATATAAAAGAAGAACCTTTTATTAAAAAAGAAGAACCTATTATTAAAAAAGAAGAATCTATTATTAAAAAAGAAGAAATTAATGAAAAAGAAGAAGAATAAGGAGAAATAAAAGCAAATAGAGATGAGAATTATAATTTATATGATTTTTTTGAAATAAATATAGACAAGGAGACATTAAAAAACTATAAAGCGCCTTCTAAAACAAATGAAAAGATAATCAAATTAAAAACATCACATTAAGAATAAATGATTAATTAAAAAAAAAAATATAAAACAAAATTAATATGTTGCTTATGTAAATGAATAAAGGATTATTATATACAAAAGAACTTTTGTAAAAAAATTGTAAACTATATTTTATTATTTGCATTAAATGTGAAAAATTGGCAAAATAAGATATTTAGCAATAGTTTTAATGTGTTTTATGTAATAAAAAATTCTAAATTTCTTCTTATATACTTAAAATGAAAAGAATCTGTAAAATAAATAGATGTGAAGAATGTTCATTATTTGAAAAAAATAAAAAAATAAAAGAGAGAAAATAAAATATATATTTAATATTAAATCAAAATTTTTTATTTTATATCTATTAAATATATAAATAAATTAATAAATATATATAATAAATATATATATATATATACATTTTTTTTTAAAATAAAATATTTAATAATGCATATATATATATATATATATATATAATAAAAAATTATCAATTTGAATCTAAATTAACCGATTTTTTTGAACCAAATTCATCAAATTGATTAAGGTTTTCCATTTTTCTAAGCATTTCTAATTATTTTAACCTAACATCACTTTATTAATTTTATTTATTTTAAAAAAAACTCCCACTATTCTTTTTTTCTATAAAAATATTATCTTCTTATTTATTAATATAATTTGAATTTTTTTCATAAATTTTCTATTGACTTTTTTCGAAACTTTTTTCATTATTAGGTGTCATTTATCCACTTTTAATAACCTATAAATGTTATTAAAAGCTTATTTATTTCTATAAAACGATTATATTTTACTTTAATCTTTCATTTTCTTATAATATTGCTTATTTTTATTCCATAAAAACAGTAAGTTAGTCCCTTATTTATGTAAACTTCTCATAAAAAAAGTCCACTTCATCATTTTTCTTTCCTAATTTCTTCCCTAATCCCTCAAATAGGCTCTAACTCTCCACAAAAACCTTCAAAGAACACTTCTAAGTTCCATTTAAGCACTAAACTAGAGAATTAAAATCTTTTGAAGCCTCCTATCTATCCAAAACATATTAATTTTTTCCCGCAAACCTCAAGAACTGCCTTATAATCTACTAATCTAACTTAAAACAGGTTTTCCTATAAACCAAAATTACATAAAAGTACACTGAAATAAGAATTTTTTTGAATTTGAGTTTAGTTTTTTCCCTAAAAGAGATATTTTTTTTCTAACTATTAGAAACTTTAGATTAAAAAAGAATAAAAGAATTAACAAAAGAACATCCGAATTCTGACAAAAAGATTATTTTGGAAATTTTTCCGTGTAAAAAATATACATAATTAGCAAATTAAAAGGAAAGATTTTTAAATTTATTATATTCTTTATCTTCGACTTCCTATTCGAAATTTTCTATTTCGAATCTTAATTCTTTTATCTAATTTTATAATTTATGTTCTTCATATAACCTATCATTTATTTTTTTCTAAAATTCCTATATTGTTTATTCAAAGAGAATATTTTCTTATATTTTTAAGTCTTTTAAGTTCTAAATCTCAATTAAGTTTTTATTTATTTAATCTTTTAGTTCATTTATTTCAGTTTTTTAATGAAAGCATATACTTTTATATTTCTTTGTATATAAAAATATTTTAATATATGATATTATATTTGATTTTTACATGTTTTTAATGTTTTTAATCTTAATATAATTATTAGAAAAGTACAAAATTTTATTTAAAAGTATTTAAAATAGTTTAAGTTTAATTAATATTTCCTTAATAAATCTTAAACTAATGTATTTTTTTACCCACATTTTATCTCATTAACTCATCTAAACCTAAAATAAAGGAATTAAAATCACCAATTTCAGTATAAAAGTGTTCTATTTTTTACTAAAACTCATTTATAAGTACTTTTTATTGATTTGCAATTTAAATTAAATCTTCTAATTCTTCGCTTTGCTTATTTGTGGTTTCGAGCATGCTTTTATTTTCATCTTTTAAGTTTTTAATTTATTCTTTTTATTTTTTTTCCTTTTATTTCTTTTCTTCTATTAGTTTATTTAATTCTTCGTGAATTTCCTTGTTTCTCATTTCTAATTCTTGGCTTTAATTTCTTAATATTTAATTACTTTCTTCACTCTTTTTTACTTAAATTTTTAATTTATTATTCTCTTATATTTCCTATTCTTTTTCTTTCTATATTTGTTTCATTTTATCCTCTTTTTCCTTTATTAATTCTTCTTTTTACATCATTTGTTTTACCAAAAGAGCCTACTCTTCCTCTAAATTATTACATAATTTTTAAATTATGTTTATTTTATTATCATATTATTCCAATTAATTCATTAAAACATTCATTTCTTTTTTTATTTTTTTTATATATGTTTTTATTCTAAAGCTTCCTTTTCTTTTTCTTCCCTTCTGCGGTTTTTTTCACTTTTTAATAATTTTTATAGTTAATATAATTCATTTTGTAGTTCTTTTATTTCTTAATCTTGTTAAGAAACATCATTTATTTCATCATTAATAGTCTTTATTTTATTTATTTTAATTTATATTAAATTTTTACTTTTCTAATACTTTATTCTTCGTTCATTTTAAATAAATTTTATTTAAATTTGTATTTTTTTAAAAAATATAAAATATGTATTATTTGTTATATATAAAATTTAAAATTTTATTTTAATTAAATATATATATATATATAAATAAATTATTTATTTATTTTCTCCTTATACATATAAAAATAAATTATTCATTATTATTATATAACTTTACAAATTTGATTTTAAGAATTATTAATATTATATTTCGAATTTTCTAATAAATTTGAATAATTTCCACTCATTAATAAAGAATTATTACACTAGCCTCCTTAAATCTTACTTTTTCTAACTTCCCCTTCGGCAATAACCTTACTAATTTCAATTCCTTATTTTTAAGTTAATTCTTGTTTCATATTTTAAAGCCATTAAGCATATCTAACAAAAATATAAATATATGTAAATATATATATATTTGAATATAAATAAAATATATATATATATATATATATATATATATATATATATATATTTATATTTTATTAAATTTTTACTTATTCATTTCTTATTTCCTCATTCTTATTTTACATTAAAGCATATTTTCAAGTTTATTTTGTAATGCTTAAGCTTCTTATTATTATTTAAGTAATAATTTTACTTTTTTTTATTTAATTTTTTATTCATGTTAATTTAAGCAATTTTCCTCATCTCTAAATTCTAATTCCAGTATTCTTTTTTTAACTTAATATGCTTCTGTGTATCTTTTATTACAAATCAGTTAATTTAAAAGATTTCTCAATTAAAGGACTTCAACGGAATATTTAACTTTGGGTGGTGCTTAATTTTTCATGTCGATATCGAATTATTCTTATTATTGTTGATGGAATTAATTTAATTAAATTTCTTATTCATGTAATTCATTTTTATAATCAAATATTGCTTTATCCCATGTTTCATTAAATTCTTTATATTGTCTTAAATTCATCTCTTCTAGTTCTAATATTTCATTTTTATTTTTATTTCGGATTAATTTTTAAGAAAGCTTTATTTCTTCCTATTATAGTTCTTCGATTTTTTTCACACATTTCTCAGCCTCTAAATATTGGTCGTTTTTTATGCATTCTTATTCATATTATATTAATTCTTCTCTTTTTTATATTAATTTTTATATATAAATATGAATATTTATAATATATATATATATATATATTATATTTTTGTTTATATAATTTTTATTATTTTTTTTACATTATTTAAGGAATAAGGTCTATTGAAACTTTTTAATCAAACGAATGTAAAGATGTATATTAAGATATTTAATCTTTAGAAACTTAACTTCTTTTTAAAAAATTTTGCATTTTTTCGTTATATCTATCTACAGATAATGTAGTATTTGATAACAATTAATTACTCATATTGATTATATATTTATCTATATATATATATATATATATATTTTTTATATTATATTATTTTTTTATTTTTTATTTATAATATTATATTATTAATTAATTTCGTTGTATTTATTAATCTATCTCATTTTTTGATTTTTTTTTTTTTTTTTTTTGAATGATTATTATAAAATTATTTATTATAAAATAAAAAATTAAATTTTCCAAAAAAACTCTAATTAAAAATTATAAATATATAAATTACTTATTTATTTATTTTTTTAAAATAGGGCCATAATCAATTTTTACTCACTTTTTTTTTTTTTTTTATTGTTAAATGAGTTTTATAAAAAAAACAAAACAAAAAACATAATAATATCAAATAAAAAATATATAAAATTATTATTTTAAACAAAAAAAACAAAAATTAAGTAATTTTATACACTAAAATTATTCACTTTATTATCAAATAAAATTATTTCTTTTAGTTTAAGAATAACTTTATATTTTTTTATTTGGACTAGAGAATATTTTTTATCTTTATAGACTATAATTCTTATTATTTTAACAGCTTCCGTTTAAATTATTAATATTCTAAGTATTTAAATTTTAATTTTGAGAAATATATTAATTACCTTATTATTATTTTATATCAAAAGCAATCTAATTTTATGGGTAATAATTCTCTTTTTTTTAATAAAATAATTAATAAGTCTTATAATATTTTTATTATATTTCATCAGTATTAGTAATTACTTTATTTTTTAAGACATTATCTTTCATTTTTTAAGTAATTTATTGCTTAACATATTTATTCTAATTTTTTTAAAATATTTAATTCCTATTTAATAACTCTTTATTTTATTTACATAAATTTTTATTAATTAATAACTAGTAATTATTCATTTCTTAATTATATTTTTATAAAATCTGTTTCGATGTTGCTATTTTATGAGTATTTATTTCATGATTTTAAAATTTTATTGATTCATTTTATTATTATTTTATTGGTTCAATTTCTTATTTATTAATTATAAGTGATGTATTATTTAAATAATTTGCAATGTTATTTATTTATTATAATGCTTATTAGTATTAACTCATTTATTTATTTTAGGATATTTCGTTTGTTTCTTATTATTAATTAGTGGAATTATATATACTACTAATTGATGAAATATTTAATTAATTGAGTATGTTACAATAATTTTACATTTTAATTTGTTTTTCTCGAACTAAATAAAATCAAAAAAATTATAAAAGTATTATATTTAATATAAAAATATCAAATAAAAATATATTAAATTATTTTTTTATAAAAAAAAAGTTTACAAAAGTATATTTAACATTCAAAATAAATTATTTATATAGTAGAAATATTTAATAAAAAAAATAGAATTAAAAGTTTAAAAAAAAAAAAAATTATTAAATATAAAAAAATAAATATTATATAAAATAAATATATATATATATATATATATATATATATATATATATTATATAAATATATTATATATCTATATATATAATTTAATTATATTAATTATGATATATGTATATACTTATTTATTTATTTTTTATATATCGTTTTATTAACGTTTTTTAATTTTTTATATATAATTTTTTTCGTTTTTATAATATCATTAACTAAATATAATTAAATTCAAAATTAAAAATAAAAACTCATAATATCATTATAAAATATTAAATATTTAAAAATAAAAATTCATATTTTTTTTATTTACATAATAAATGTTAGAAATAAAAAAAAATTTAAAAGAAAAGAAAATATAACCATAAACTATATAATCTAATTTTTATTAATTCACATCAAAAATATACCAAGAAATTTAGCATAAAATAATATAATTTAAAGAATACATACAAATATAATACACTGATTTATTATAAAACAATAACTTAATAAATTTTTTCAAATAACCTCAATATTAATAAGATAAAAAACATTAAAAACATTAACTATAAAAAAATATTAAATAAAATGATATAACAACTTTTCAACATGCCTCTTATTTTGCTGCAAGCTTTCTTTTTGTAATGTCTATAGCATCTTTAAGTACTTTTTAAACTGCTACTAGATCTATATGGTTTGCTATAAGTGGTATGTTTTTAGCTATATGTGCAACTTTTTATTAATCTTCATGGGATTTAGGTGATTCTTTTAGATGGCTGTTTTCATTTTTAATAGGTGCTTCATTAGGATTATATATTGGTTTAAAAGTAATAAAAAATTTATATATTATTATATTTTTTAATTTTTATATTTAAATATTATGTATATATATTATATTTAGACTAAAGTAAGTTAATATGCATAAAAAATTTGTTTTTTATAAGCTATGACGGGAATTGCAAGTTTTTTTTTAGGAATTGCTTAATTTGAGCGAATAAATCAATTTAAAGGCAAATTTAATCAACTAGATTCTTTATAAACCGTTTTTGTATGCCTTTTAGGTTCTATGTTATTTTCTTCTGGTTTAACTTGTTATTTCAAACTTGATAAAAGTAACATAGCTAAAGTTCCATTAAACTGGATAGGTTTATATCGAAATTTATTAAATATATCAGTTTTAATATCTATAATTATATTCAGTATATTATACATTTGGTTTAATATTGGATTTGCTTTATGGATTATATTTTTACTTTCTCTTTACATAGGATGGGGAATAGTAGATAAATTTTTATATATATATATATATATATATATATATATATTTACAATATAATATATATATTTATCAATTTATAATTTTTATATATAGTTATATATATTTTTATATATAAATAAATTTATAGGTAATTTCAGCTACATTAAGAGATTTAAATGCAATAATTCCTTTCTAAACAATTACAACAGGAATAACATTATCATTTATTGGTTTTATATTGTAACGTGATTATTTAATAATAGCCGGTGCTCTTTGTATTACAGGTGGTTATTAATTAACATTAAGGGCCTAAAATGGTATAAAATGTTATATATGGCCTGTTTTTACTAGAAGTTGGAACAAAACTTCAACTACTGGAGATGATTCTATATCAACATTTGTTTCGTAATTCGGTTATAATAACTAAGATATTACTTCTTAAGATTTAATTTTAGACCTCTTAAATGCAAATAAGGTTGTTTTTGTAACTGGTAATGGTATATATTAGTCTTAAAGTACTAAGATTACCGTTTAGATTTTCTAATATCTAGTTTTGTATGGAAAAACAGCAGATTTTTGTATCCATCCTGCCAGTGGGAGAATTCCAGGGCATATGAATGCCATATTGACGGATTTCGGTGTTCCTTTTTACAATATAAAGGAATTAGAAAATACTAATTTTAATGATTATGACCTATGTGTTGTCATAGGAGCATATGAAGAGGTAGATCCTGATAATTTAAGTTTATAAAATTCTTAATTTTATGGAATTCCTATTTGCTAAGTATGGGAAAGTAATAGAGTTGTGTATATAGAAACTAAAGTCGAGAGAAATTATGTTGCAGGACTTTTTGATAAAAATAATGTGTATGTTTTAAGAGGAGAATCTTAATAAAATTTAAATAATGTCTATAATGAATTAAAATAAAAGGGAGTAATAAAAGAAAATTAATAAATTAACAACAATGAAGATAATAAAAAAAATATAAAAACACAAGAATAAATATAATTCTTAATTAGAAAATCAATAAAAAGTAAATAAAAAATATAATAATTGAAAAATATAAATTTAAATATAATTTATATTAAGTTTTAGGTATATTAAATGAATATGAAAGCTAAAAAGAAAAAAGAGTATCAATTACACCTGATGTAGTTATGTCTTTATTAAAGTAATATATTGCTTTTTAATAATATTTTTATAAATTTGAATAAATAATTAATAAAAATAATTTAATATATATAAAAATAAAATATATAGAATATATATATGTATATATAAAATAATATATATATATATATATATTATTATATATATATATATATAATATTTATATATTTTTATAATTTATAATTTATAATTTATAGGAACGGAATTCATATTTGGATAGAAAAAGATGCAGGATTGTAGGCAGGATATTCAAATTTTTAATATGAATAAGCCGGCGCTTTAGTTACTAATTCTAGTTAAATATTTTCAAAAGCTCATATTTTATTATTCATATCTGAATTAAAATATAATTAAATTGATTATATCGGTAAAAATACTCAAATTATAATAGCTCCATTAGGAAATGAACGTTAAAAATTTATAAAAAAATTACTTAATAATCCAGAAATCACATTTTTAGATTTAAGTGATATCCCCGAAGAATTTGCTCGTGGGCAAAAGTTAAGTACCAAAAACAATTAGTAAATTCTACAAATATAAAGAGCCGTATTGGAAGGATTTTATCATTTAAATAGAAGCGGAAAGTCCCTATATAGTTAAGCTGGGAAAATAAAAGAAGCCGAAGTACTTATAATTGGTGGAGATTCTCTTGGAATTAATATCGGTTTAAATGTGAAATAAACATAAGGGTGTAATATAAGATTTTACGAAGAAAGGAATAATGTATAAATTTAATTAAAAAAAATGGGATTTTAATGTCTAGAATTCATATATGAAGGAAACGATATAGATATTAGAAATATTTAATAAAATACATTATAAAAATGTTTAGGAAATACTGATTTAGTATTTATTTGTTAATGTAAATATAAATATATTTATTAAAAAAAGAAACATAACAAAAAAAAAAAACAAAAATAAAGAAAATAGTCAAAATAATATTGCTTTATTTGATTAGAAAGTATGCAGTTTTTAAGAAGAGGTGCTGTTATAGTTGATTTAATGTCTGATTTGGTGGAAATTGTACTTTTACTTAATTAGATAAGGTAAATGTCGATTAGTTTACAGGAGTTGTAGTTGTAGGTTATTCTCAATATACTTATTGTTAAAAATTTAATAAATAATCTAGTGAGCTTCATGCTCTAAATGTAAATCATTTATTTAATACTATTATAGTGAAAAAAAATTAAGAAATTAATATTAATCTAGATGATCAATTAATTCAAGAAATATGTGTAACCAAAATATTAATTATATATATTTTTATAAATATTTATATATATATATATCATTATATTTATAGTATATCTATAAAGGAAAAGATGTTTCTTAAAGACCTATAATAAAAATAAATGAATAAATCTAATAAAAAATAGATAATGAAGAAGAAATACCAATAATCTCATAATAATAAAAAACGCAGATAATAAAAAAGAATTAAATATAGGTATAAATATTAATAAAAATGAATGTGAATGTGAAGAGAATAAAAAAAATGAAGAAGAAGAAATTAATCACTAAAAAATAAAACCAAAAAAACACGAATAAATTTTAAATGCAACTAAAGAAAAAATAAAAGAAGGATGGGATATATTAAAATATTTCTTATAAAAGACTATAGGAGAAAAACAAAGAGAAAAAATAATTAAGTAAATATATATAAATATATATGAATTATATATATTTATATTAATATATATATATATTATATAATTATTTATATATAATTATTTTTTATTTATTTTTATATATATTCATTTATATTTTTAATATATTTTAGAAATCCTTTAATATTGTCTGCTCTTATTACTATTTTTTTATTATTTATTTGTATATTGCTTGCAGTACATACAGATAGTGCATTTATTATTCAATTGGGAATTTTTATTCTTGCATTATTTGTAGGAGATACTATAGTGAAATAAGTACATGTAGGATTATTTACACCTTTTATTTTATTACTTTAGACAATTGGAGGAAGTATCGGAGTGGCTTGTATGATTGTTTTTTCTTATGGAGATTCAGTTGATTTATTAGAAGTTTTTAGCTTTATAGCTACTATTGGTCATTCTTTTGCTGTTATTGTTATTATTTTAGGATTTAGTTTATGTTTAAGATGTGTGAATTCTTTTGTACCAAAGGAATAAAGAGAATATTTTGAAGAAGAAATTTGATTTTTTTTATCATTTATTAATATTTTTTTTTTTTTTTTAAATAAGAAATATTATTTTTTTATTATTGAAAAAAAATTTCTCTTATTTATTAATATTGGAAAAAAAAAAAGAGTGGGGGGGGGATAAATAAATATAATTTATATAATTGTATTTTTATTATATTTTTTACAAATAAAAAAAAATAAAATTAAAAATGATTTTAAATATAATAAAAAAATAATTAATTAGAATTAATTAAATAACTAAATTAGGATTAAACGAATAATTTTCATCTAACAATAAAAATTCAAACCAAGAAAGAAATCCTTATTCATATTAAGAATTAAAAGATAATAATTGGTTAATTAATGATTTTTCAAATAAGGTTATTTATTATTTCAACTAAAATATACATTTTAATAAAAAATTAAGAATTCTTATTGGACTCACAAATCAAATGCAGAATAGTTAATTCATAAAGTTCCTGTAATAGAAGTAGATTCTGATAATGTTAGATGTTTAGTAATAAAAAATATAAATATATATAAATTATTTAAAAACAATTAAAGGGAGGAACTGAAAATAATGCAGGACATCCTTAAGTTTATATTCAATTAAATACTAAATAAGCAGGAAAAGTATAGACATGCAAATACTGTGGTTTAAAATACGCAAGGAAATTGCATAATGCTGAACATCATCATTGATAATATTATTTTTAAAGTAATAATAATATTATTATTGTCATTATTTTATATTCATTTGTTAAAACTAATAGACTTTATATATTTTTTAAAATTGAAAAATATATTTTTAATTTAAATTTTTTATTTAATTTTTTTTTTTTGGTTAGTTAATCTTCTTAAACTTTCTTTTAAAATTAATATGATTTTATTTTATTTCATAAAAAAATATTTATGATTAAAAACTATTTTTTAGTATATTAAATTATGAATATATATACATATTATATATTTTAAACTATGTTTTTTTATATAAATTAATTATTATTTTTTTGTTTCAACAATATATTTTAAACTGAATATAAAATATAATTAAATTTTACAAATTATCATATTAAAAGCTATTTCAAATTAACTAAATCAGCAATAAAAAGCTTTATAATATTTATTGTATTTTAAAAATATATAAATAACAAATTATTATTTTTAAGATATAATATTTAATTATTTTAGTTATTTTTTATTTGTCTATATATAACTATATTTCTAATAAGAAAAAAAATAAAAATAATAGAATTAATCGAAAATAAAAAAATTCGGTATATAACCATTGTTTTATAGTAGTTTTAATAAAAAGAATATTATTTCGAATTTGTATTAAAATTGAATATTAAAAACAATGGTTAATATATTTTAATATAAGAAAATATTAATAATATAAATAAAATATTTTATTGTTAATATTGATTAGTTAGAAATAATTATAAATAAATCTATTTAATCAAAATTTTTATATGCATAAAAAAATAAATAATATTAATTCAAGTTTAAGTTCATATTTAATTATTTTATATTTTTTAAAAAAATAACTTTATGTATATAAAAATATAGGCTAATGATAAAAAAATAATATAAGATTTGTTTATTTTTTTATTTTAACAAAATTATAATATAATGAAATATATTTTTTAATTAATTTAATTAAATTCAAATAAATCAATTATTTATATATATATATATTTTATTTTTTTTATAAAAATTTTAAGGAAAAAATAAATTATAGTTAAATAAAATTAAGAACTATTATAAAATTATTTATATAAAAACAGATAATTTTAATAAAATAAATAAATATATTTGATACTTATAAATTATATTATTATAGATATTTTTTTTATATCTCAAAAATATATAAACTTTTAAAAATATTGTATACATTCATTCCGTTTTTATATTTAATTACAGTTTCTTAATAATATTTTTAAAAAACTGAATATAAAAACAAAAAAATATAAAAAAATAATTTATATATTATATATATTTAACAAACAAACAAAAACAAAAAACCAATTATGAAATATAACCTAATTATAATATTTTTATTAATTTCGTTAAATTATACATCACGTAATACTCATAAAAAAATCCACGATGACGATATAGAAGGTTAAAAATAATAAAAAAGCAAGCCTTATAATTCTGAAGATTATAATGTAGCCTAAAATATCGGAGAAGCCTTTATGAATGGTTTACATGCAGTCGGTAATTTAGGTTCGGATTTAGGTGATGTTACCGAATCAGTTGGCAAAGCAGGTAATAGTGTCGCTTAGGGAATATCAAAAGCCTCTAAAAATTTAGGGGATAGTGTTGATGCAGTAGGAAGAGCAGGTGGAGATTTAGGTGATGGAGTCTCCAATGTAGGAAATAATTTGGGAGATGCAGCCAATGGAGTAGGTCATACAGTATAGGATGCTAATGATGCAGTTACTTCGCTTTGGGAAGATGATGGTGAAGATTAAAAAGGGAATATTTTCGGAAATAAAGATGGATAAGATGGAGAAGATGGAGAAAATTAAGATGATGGAGAAGATGGTGAAAATATTATGGGAATAAATAATTAGAAATAAGGATAATAATAAGCAAGTGAAGGTAAAAAATAATAAATAATTAAGATTAAAAATATTAAATAGATAACTAAGAAAATAAAGATGAGTAAAAACAGATAATCAAGGAAATAAAGATGAGTAAAAACAGATAACTAAGAAAAATAAGATGGGTAATAAACAGATAATTAGGAAAAAAAAGATGACTAATAAACAGATAATTAAGAAATAAAAGATGAGTAAAAAACAGATAACTAAGAAAATAAAGATGAGTAAAAAACAGATAATTAAGGAAATAAAGATGAGTAAAAAACAGATAACTAAGAAAAATAAGATGGGTAATAAACAGATAATTAGGAAAATAAAGATGGATAATAAACAGATAAATAAGAAAATAATGATGAGAAATAAACAGATAATTAAGAAAATAAGGCTGATGCAAATTAGACATAATAAACAGTAGAGAACGATTAATAATAAAAACCTGAAGGTAAAGGAAAAGATATAAATCCGGTATAAAATGAAGACAAAACAATAATATAAGAAGGAGAGAGAAAATAAATATAAGAAGGAGAAACTAAATAAATATAAGAAGATGGACAAAATAAGTAACCAGAATAAGAAAATGATAAAAATAAATAAAAATAAGATGATGTAAAAAATGGAGATAATTCTGATGTGAAAAATGAAACTGTTAATAATGAAAAATAGGATAATATATAATAAAATGATTAAAAAGATTAAAAATAGACTGATTAAGAAATTTAATAATAAGCTTTATATTCATAACATAATAAATTTAAAGGTATTTATATATATATATATATAAATATATATATATATATAAATATATATATATATATATATATATTTATATATATTATTATTTTTTTAAATAAAATATTATTTTAGGAAATTATAGAAATTAAAATCGTCATTAATAGTAAATACGTTTATAAAAAAATAAATGAAATGTGTAGTAGATTTATTATGTTTATAAAAACTAAATATTTTTGTTTTTTTTATACTAAATATTTAGTTATTTAAATAAAATTATATATAAAAAGTTTTAATTAATAAAATTAGATTTTTTGATTCTTCTTGTTTTTTTTAAGAAAAAATATATAAAATAAACTATTATTTTTTAAAATTAAAAAAAAAAAAAACATATAAATAATAAAATATATATATATATATATATATGAGAAAAAATTTAATTAATAAATTAAATTATTTTATTTTATTTTATTTATTTTTTTTTAAAAAAAAAAGAAGAATAGAGAAAAAAAAATTAAAAAAAAAGAAAAAATGTATAAAAAATAATAAATATTAGATTGTTTTAAATAAAAAATTGATGAAAATATTCTATAATAGCTTTAATCTCTCTAAGGCATAAATATATTTACCTAATAAATATTATAGCCATAAAACTTAATAAATTCTAAGCAAAACCTAAACTTTAGTTTTTACTTTTTGAAAAATAATCAAACTAATCAAAGAACTAATAATAGTAAAAAAAAATGATTTAATTCCTGTTTTTAGCTAATGTTAATTCACTACAGATCCAAAAAGCGAAGTTTGGTATTTTTAAAACAACCAAGACATAGAAGGTCCTTATAATTCAATAGATATGGACAATATGTTATATTAAAATAAAATAAATTACGATACAAAAATTGTATTTAAGGATCCTTAAGATAAATACGTGAGAGTAAGGAAATTAATAACAGTCACATTTGGAAACAAATATAAAAATATAATGAATAAAGTGGAAAATAACTAAAATAATGCTTAAAAAAAACGTTTATTCATTAAGATTAGAAAAATCAGGAAATAAATAGATTGTATAAAAATAATAGTGTTTATATATAAAATAATAAATAAGTAGAATAAAAGAATAATTATTATTAATAAAATAATATTGATAAATATTAAAGAAATAATAATTTATAAAATAAAAATGTTTAATAGTATAATAAAAATAATCAATAATTATAAGAAAATATTGTATTAAATGAAAAAGAAAATATCACTAATAAAATTTAAAAAGAAGAAAACTAATAATAAAAATAAAATATCTAAGATGAAAAATAAAAGTAATAATAATAATAATAATAATAATAATAATAATATTAATAAAATTAATAATAAAAATAATAATAATAAAATATATCCGAAATAAATATTTTATAAAATTCCTAAGAATAAATCTTTTAATAAAATATGATATTATAATAAAATTAAGAATTATAATTAGATTAAAAAATTACAAACTCAAAAGAATAAAAGAAACACAAAAAAAAATTTGATAAAAAAAATGCTACTAAAGTACATATATAAGGAATTTCTGAACAAGAAGCATTAAATCAAGAATTACTATAAAGATAAAAATAAAAAGATTCGAATTATGAATAATAATAAGAAAATAATAATGTAAAATCTAATATTATAGAAAGTGATTTTCCTTCTGATTTATTAACTGTATAAAAAAGAAGTTTTAATTAATAATGTAATAATATTTCTAAAAGCGAATAAGAATGTAAAAATTTAGAAAACGAACCAAATGCATTTCCAGTTTTGATTGGAGAAATTTATAATGGACCTCCTAAAAATTCTATAAGAAATAATAAAACTAAAAATAATTCTAGATAATAAAGAAAAAAATGAAAATTTTAATTTTTTAAAAAATAATAAAATATAATATTTTAAATAATTTTTATAAAAAATAATTACAAAATAAATAAATAAAATAAATATATATGTGTATTTTTAATATGAGAAAAAAATTATATATATATATACATAATAAGAATATTTTTATATATATGTATTTAATATATATTTATTTATTTATAATATATATATATATTTATATAAGTTTTATTTATTAAAAAAATATAATTTTTCTTGTTAAATATAAAAATATTTTAATATATTTTATTTATATACTTATTAAAAAATAAATTATACATTTGTATATATAATTTAAAAAATAAATGTATTTAATAAATCAATCTGCTTATATTAAAACTTGAACTTAATTAGAAGAAAAAACCAATAAACCATTTAATATTTAAAACGATTAAAATTAAAAAGTAACATTATATTTTCCTATATGTGGTAATACAATTAAGCTTTAAAATTCGTTTTAAACATTCATTTCTAAATGGTTAATTTTCAAAATTTAAGAATGAATTTTTTTGACAATATTTTTATCGATTTCTTCTTCTATTTGAATATTGATTTAATTTTTATATTCTTTTAAAACATTCTATTGATACTTTTTTTTTTCAAATTAAAAAAACCTAAAATATCCTTTCAAATTTACTCCTTATTCTACTTTTATAATAACATTTTTTTTTCCAAAAATAAAACTATTTCAGGTATTTTTTTTTATAAAAAAAGTCTTTTTGGTAAACACAAAGGATTTTCTTTTAAAAATTAAACTATTTCATCTTTATTTTTATTCTAAAAATTCTAAATAAATACCTATCTTCCATCAAATATCTAAAAAAAACTGTTTTTCTATTAAATTTTTTCAAAAGAATTCGAATATAACCCTTTTATGATATTTTTAATGAACATTATTGTACATTTACTTGCTGAATCAAGACCGAATCTTGCCGAAAGTAGCAAATTAATATCTTAAATTAGTAATAAGTAATCTTTTTTTTCAAATAGATTCAAAAAACTATAAAAAGAACATAAAAATTTCAAAAAAAAGCATTAAAAATCTTCTCTATTTTAAATAATTAAAAAATCGAAAAGTTTTATCAAATTTTCATTTAGAGAAAAATTTTTAAAATCTAAAAAAATTTGCACTAATTCTTTTTAGAAATTAAAACTTATTTATTCACAAAAAAAATCTTCTATTTTTTCCAATATTTTTAATGAAATATTATACATATTATATACTGAAAATTAATTCGCAATTTTTTTGAAAATTAAAGCTTCTTATATAGTTTTTATTGGCGTTTTTTCTAAAAACTCGTTTATTTTTTAATTGATTTTCTCTTTTAATTATTATTTTGTTATTTTATTATATATTAGACATATTAATAGATTTAGAGTATTAAATATTTACTAAAAAGAAGTATTTTTTAATATTTGATATGTTTTGGTATATATTGGGATTATTTTTTCATTTAAAAAATCAAAAAGTTAATTTTCATTTGGAAACTAAAAAGCCGAAAAAATTGGAATAAGTGTATTTAATTTAGGGATAAAGTCATTGTTTTATTAGTTAATTTTGGTCAAAATATTTAAACCAAAAGTAAATAAAAGCTCTATATTATTTTTTTCTTAGACTAAGCTATTTTTATATGAAAAGTTAAAAAAGCTTGGATAATTTTTTTCCGAAAAATCAACCGAAAACTATTTTTTTTCTAAAATTTTTAAAAAATTTTCAAACGAGTTTTATTCCAAACAAAAAAGAGCATTTTTTTTTTCTAAAATTTCTTTCAAAAATATTGAATTTTTCCCATTTAAAAACTCCTAAATATATACTAAATTTTAAACATTTATATTTTCCATTATTAAGTTTTCCAATTCTTAAGGAAAATCGACATTTAAGTATTATTTTAGACAAAAACTCCTTAAAAAAATTAAACATTTAATAACTATATTTTTATTTTTTATTAAAATAGGAAATTCAATAGAATTACAAAAATTAAAAAAAAGTCTAATTATTTATGCATTATTTTTACATAAACTAATCATTATTTTTAACTTTAGAACTAAAAAACTTTAAGGACTATCCATTATTTATTTCTTTATTTTTTAATAAAGGATAATTTAATATTATTAATTGCTTTTTATTTATAATTTTTATAATAGTTTAAGGCTTTTTTCTTCCCCACACTTCCTTTAAATATCCTCGCTTTTATTTAATATATAAAGAGCAAATTTCTCATTTTCTTTTTATAAAAACTTACTCAAAACTCTAAAGCAAGTTTATATTTCTACTTCCAAATTAGATTTTAATAACAAATCAATAATTAAATAAAAAGTCTCTACATTTTAACTATAAAACTCGACTAAGCTTCCTATGATTTTCATTCCTAATATCCTTGTTATATAATCTATACTGAATAAATAATCTTATAAAATATCCATAATTTCATTCCTATTATATACTTTTACATATTTTAAACCTACACTATCCTTAAAAAAATAATAAATACAATATTATACATTCTAATTATAATGCTTGAACTATTTAGTTATATGTAAATAAATGGTATTTATTAATTCTTCGTCGGATGAATCATTAAGCAGTTTTTCGATTTCGAATAAATTATATATTATTTCATGTAAAGGGAGGTTTTCTTATATTCCATTATATAAAATTGAATAATTTTCCATTATTATTTTATTTATTTAAAAATAAAATATATAAAAAAAAAAAAAATACAAATTTATAAAATGCGAAAAAATATAAATATATTTTAAAAAAATTCTCTTTTAACAAAAATTATTATTACATTTAATCCATTCATAATTCAATATTTCTTTCATTTATTTATTAATTATATATATCATCACTCTTTTTATTTTAAGAAAATACATTCTTATATTATTATAATTCTTATTATTATTAAGAAGATTAGTTTACACTTTCTTATTCATCTTAATTTTCTAAAATTATATCCATTTTTTCATCATATTCGGATTAAACATCTAAATTATCTCCTAAATTTTATATTATATTTGTAACAATATTATAATTTAAATTTATTTTTTCATTATTTATGTATTAATTTTCAGTTTAAAATGTCAAAGCAGATTAAATACTTTCTTATTTATCTCTAAAACTATTCGAATGTTTTTTAATATTTATTATATATTTACTTTTTTATTTATTTCTAAAATTAAAATTTTTATCTAAATCCGAATTTTTTAAATTTACTTCTGAATTAATACTCTAATTTTATAAAATGAATTAAAATTCGTCACTTTATTTTTTCAAATTAATAGGACTTTTCACAAACCTTTCTGAATTAATTAAATCAATACTAGTTTTATTTTTTATAATAAATTAAATATTTTATTTTTATTATTCTTTTTCTTATTATGTCTAACTTTCAATATCCTCAAAAAAATCATTCTCTGGAGTTTATTTTTTAATAATATCTTTTAAAATTTTATTTTAATAAGAAATTATTATAAACTATAAACTAGAATGTATTTAAACTATAAAATCTCCATATAAATTTTGTTTATATATTCCAGATTTTCCTCGAGTTTTCGAAAATATTATTTAAAGCAATATTTACTATAATTAAACTAAAAACCCAAAAAATAAAAAAAAAACTCCACTTGAAAATAATAATAATATTCCTATACAATATATCATATTTTTATCATCTTGGAAATTATCAGATATAAAAAATAAACCAATTATAATTTATAAAAAAATTAGCATATTTAAATATTGAATAACCCTTAATAATTAAAATTTTAGGTTTTCTTATAAAGTTATTTTTATTATTTCTTTTCGAAAAAATAATATTTGAGTTTGGTGTAAATTTAAACATTTACTATATATATTTTTTAGCTAATTAAAATCGAATCTTCCTTATGAAATTAAAAAGGGTATTAAAATTTAATTTTCTTATGCATTTTTTTTCTCTAATTAATACTATTATAATGAAAAGCATAAATATATGTCCATATATTTAAATAAATATATATATATATATATATTATTTTATTATATATGTTTTTTTTATATTCGTTTTTAAAATATAATCTTTTATTAATGATATACACTATTTTTATTTAATTAGTAGTTTTAATTTATATACATTTAAATTTTTTTTGTTTGAATATATTAATATTTTATGATTAAATTCATAAGAAAAAAAAATTAATAAAATTCTTTATTTTCAAGTTTTAAGATTAAATAAATAAATACTTTTATATAATTTATACAAAAAATAATACTTATTATTTTGAATAAATAATATAATTATAATTTTTAGGTTAAATACATAATTTATTATTTATAATTTTATTTAGTATACTTATATTAATATAATATACATTTAATGTAATTAAATTATTAATAAATATAATATTTTAATAGTTAATTATATTAATTTTTTATTAAAAAACAAAAAACAAAAAATTAATAATTTTCTATTTATATTTATAAAACACTGAATAAAAATGTCTATATAACCAATAAAATTATGAATTTTCTTATAATTTATAAAGGTCTTTTAAAATAAAACATATATTAATAAAAAATATTATATTATTTATATCAAATAATTTTGATTTCTAAAAAATAAATAAATGAATATATTTTTATATCTATTATTTTTTAATTTTTTCACAGTCCTAACTTCATTAAAAATAGCAATAATAGGCTCAAGTATATTTTTATTTTTATTTTTTTTAAAAAAACCAATAATATATAGGTTTAGGAAGTACCTATATAGCAAACTAGCTAAAAGAAAAAATGAAAAACGAAGTCGAAATACATTTATTTGAAAAATAAGCCGAAATAGGAAAAGTCTCATAAATATAAATAAAAAACAATACTTATAGAGATACTAGACGCTACACATTTTTTTCGAACGATAAAATATTATTTTAAATCATCAAAAATACAAACTTAACCTTAAAAAACTATACATATTCAACTGGAATGTTTAATTAATAATAAAAATCTTTTGAATATAATACAGGTCACTTATATTAAATGTTTTCCCCTTTTTATTTCTTAAGTAAATTCCCATTAATAACTCCAATCTTAAAATATTAATATGATAAAATATACAATAAATTTTCCTCCATATACGATTTGTTATAATAAAATAACTACTCAAATATTAGAAACTTACTTAAATAAGCCCAAGGACTTGACGAGTATTTAGATTATACAATGAAAGAAACTTTAGACTCGAATTTTTTATATAATAGATATTTTTAAAATATATATGTGAGAGGTTCTATGATTTCTTCATTTAATTAAGATGGAATAATGAACGGAATAGCTAGTTTTTTATCTTTATTCGATAATTTGGGACATTTGAAATACATAGAAGAGGGATTATAGGAATTAGTAAAGAGTTAAATTAATGAAAAAATAGATATAAAATTAAGAAAAAATTGTACTGTTTTTTAAATCGAGAAAATAAATGGAAAATACAAAGTTTTTTTTGGGGAAAATTAATTCGAGTTTTTTGATAAGGTAATTATTGGATTTTCTATATAAAATGAGAGTTTTTTTAAAAATACAAAAAATTTAAATATTTAAAGACTTTTAGAGTAAAAATAATAATATTATGTAAATTTCATTTAAGCGGAAAGTTTAAATTTAAATTATTTTGCGGCATTTAATCAAACGAGTATTTCCTTTCCAGAAATTATAGTTAATATATAATAAAAAGGAGGAGATTTTACGAAAATAGTTTAAGTTTATAAAAAATAATGGTTTGAAGATATAAATTAATAGATTTTTTAAGTTTTTAGTAACTAAAAATTAAATGAGAATTTAAAAAATGATTTTTTTGGAATAAACTCAAAGTTTATTTTTGAAAAAAACATATTAGAAAAAAAGCAAATTATTTAAAATTTCGACACTATAGATATATTGGATTTTGAAATCGAAGAAAATTTATTTTATCTAAAATCATATTAAGAAATTGCTCATAGTTTAAGTTTAGAATTAATTTATGCTGAAAACATAGTTAATTTAATAAAATAAGTACATTCTTAAAAGTAAAATCAATATAAATAAGAAGATTTATGAATATAAAAATAAATTAATTATATATTTTAATTTAATTTTATTTTTTTTCAGAAATTTTATCATAAAACCATATTAATTATAATCTTTTCGTTACAATCTTAAAAAAATTAATAATATTCAATAGTACACAATACCATATATTTTTATTTATCATTAAGTACTTCTTAATTGAACATTATTTATTATTATTAACAGAATTATTTACATTACTATATAAAAAAAATAAAAAATAAAAAAATAAATATATATATACTTAAAGGCTTTAATACTCAGTAAGTAATTATCCTTAATCATATACTAAATTAAGAATCAACTCAACCTTATTCACTAAAACTTTATATCTTTAAGATGGTTAATGGAAATTAACTACGAAAATAGTTTGTCCTTCTTTAATTTCTTAATTAGATTTCGAAATAACATCAGCAACTGGATATTAACTTTTATAAGTCCAAATTCTATATACATTTTTACAACCTGGAAGTGTCGATTTCTCGGCATCTTAGGAAAGTTTATGTTTTGGTTCTTTATTTAATTCGACTAATTTATAAACACCTCCTAACGCAGGCTAATTTTAACAAGTAACAAGATTAGTACCTACACCAAAAACATTAATTTTATGTCCCTAATAATAAGTTCCAAAAAAACATATGTAAATAATTATAAATTTATTTATTAAAATTACTTATTAGTTTAATTTTTTAATAGATTCTTGATTTAAATCATTAGAAGCAATAATTTATACATTTTTAAATTATTCAACTTTAAATAAATCAGCTAATTCGTCTAATTATTATCTAACTTAACTATAAAAGAATATTATTATATAGATATATATGAATATATAAATATATATATATATATATATATATATATATATAAATATATAAATATATATATTTTTATATTTTAATCATATATACATTTATTTTATTTATTTATTATTTTTTAAAATAAAATCATATCAAAAATTTCAATTGTTATATTTTCTTTTTTTATTATTTTAAATTTTATCAAAAGATTTTTTTTATAAAATTAATTTTTTATTATAGATAATTTTTATATTTTTAAAATTTAATGTAATTTTTTTTTTACATAGAAAGTTTAGCTAAATCCCCTGAATCAAGTCTAACGCCTTTAGGATTTATTCCAGCCTAAATTAAAGCTAAAGATACACAAATAAAATTTTATATTCCGCTTGATATCGTATCAAATGTATCTATTAAACAAGTAAAATTATTATAACAAGATTTAGCATAATCAAGAAATGCTGCTAATTCAGAATCACTAGAATTCACGTACTTAAATATTTTTTAAAATATAAATTTTTTTTATTATAAAAATTATTTAAATATATACATTTAATTAATTTCGATATTATAATGTAGTTTCCTTAATTTTAATTCCATTTATTTCAAATTCAATTATCTAATCTAAATTAGAATACGAAGTAATAAATGAATGTGCCATTGTTCCACTTATAGGAATTTTATATTTAATACCTGCTAAAACATTTGAAGATCCATCAAATCCACCTAAATAACTAAACTAACTTGCCATTAAACCTCCATCAGGTCCTTAAGCTCTTCTTAGACCGAATTCTAAACATTTTGCATTTTCACCAGCTTCTCTTTTAATTCTGCAAGCATTTGTAGATATTAATGTAGCGAAATTCATTAAATTTAATAATGGAGTTTCTAATAATTAAAGTAAGCCTATAGGACCTTCTAATCTTAGCAAAGGTACTTTAGCAAAACATATAGAACCTTCTTTTTAGGCTTTTTTATTTAATATATGTTTGTTTTATTTTATATTTTACCATATAGTTATATTTTCGAACAATTTAAATTTCTTAGCCAATTTTGGAATTCAGGATCTATATTTTAAATTTATGTACTATTTTTTTTATAAATTTTTATTTTTGAATAAAATAAATAAAATATTTATATTAATTTTATTTTTAAAAATAATAAATTATATATAAACCTTAAAAATTATATATGATCTTCTGGAATTTTATATGTATGAATAAATGATATTACTTCATGTAAACCAGCACATATAGCATACTATTTTATTTTTGTTTTAAAAAAAAAATTAATTTACAATATATTATAAACTTCTCCTTTAAAAGGACAATTTCGAAAAAATAATTCGAAAGAAGAAGGTTATTCGTGTCTGTTATTTTTAAAATATGAATATGCCATAGTAATTTAATAAAAATCAGTTAACAAAGGTGTAATAATGTCTACATGGCATGTTTTTGGTATTTAAAAGGATTTCATTTTAATTTTTAAATTATAAGATATTTTTTTATTTATACTTTATATATCAAGATATTTATTTGAATTTTTTTTTATTTTATATTTACATATTAAAAATATAATTATTAATATTCATGAATAATAAATATATATTAAATTAATATTTTATTTTAAAGAAATCATTATATTGAAAATATTTAACTCTATTATAAAAAAAATGTTAACAATAAAATATTTTAGGAAAAAAAAAAAAAAAAAATTAAATATTATAAATAAAAATACAATTTTTTTTTTTTTAAATTATAAAAAGATAATAAAATAAAATATTTATATGTTTTTGAATTTATTTATTATTTATCCTTTTTTAAAAAAAATTTAAAAAATAAAAATTTAAAAATAAAAATGATTAAAAATAATGAACAAAATACAAATTTAATATCATAAGCATAATAAGTATTATTTCTATTTGTATTATTTTATAAAAATACGAAAAAATAAATAAAAGTTGATAGAAAAAATAGATTTTTAATATTAAAGATTAAACTAAACAAATTAAGATAAAGAACTTTTTTAAAAAATAGGTTATTTACTTGAATAAGATTACAATACTTTAAAATAGTAAAAAAAATAAAAGAAAACATAAAAAATAAATAAATATAATAAGATTAAAGATTCAATTAAAGGAAAATAATACAGAAATTCATGATAAAGTAGTTAATGTAAAAAAAAATATATTTTTTTTTTAAATATTTATAAAAACATAGACATTAAATACTATATAGCCCTTAATTTAATAATTTGAATAATAAAAATAAGAATATTTAAGTTGGTATATAACTAACTACATCTTTTTATAATAAATAAATATATATATATATATATATATATATATATATATATAGTAAAAACAATAATATATTAGGTATTAAGATTTCAGAGAAATAATGAATCATAAAATAAAAGAATTGAAATAAGCTAGTTAATAGTAAAAAAAAGTATCATAGTGCTTATATATATATGTATATATTTATATATATTTAAAATAAAATAATAACTATTTAAAGAGTAAAAAAGCGGGTAGTTAGAAATAAAATAATAGAAAAAAATGATTAAATAGAGCGTATAGAATATCATTAAACTAAATTAGATTAAATAAAATAATTTTTGCAAACTCCATAATATATTTAAATACCTGTAAAAAAAATTAAAATAGATATATAAAATAAATATATAATTTTTGGTTTATATATATATATATATATATAAAAAAGCCGGATTATTTAAAGGAATTAAGAAACTTATTAGAAAAGGCTGAAACATAAAATACTTATGAAGAATTGATTTAAAATAAAGATATTAAAACAGTAAACTTATTTTAATATTTTATTTATTTGAAAGAAACAAACAAAATAGATATATGAAAAAATTTAATAAATTTAATAAAGAAAAAATTAAAATGTTGAAGAAATAAAAATTAATTCTGAATCATTTATGTTAAATAAAGATAAATTATTGCAATCATAAAATGAAAGAAAAAAAGGAATATAATATTTAGTTAATATGTTATAAACAAGTTACAAAAATTAATCTTAATATGCAGATTTTTATCCATCAGAAGTTCTTAAATAAAGTATAAATTCAAAAAGTCTTTTTCCTAAATACAAAATGTTATCTGAAGATGTTTTTTAAAAATTAGATAATGAAACATTATTTTATGTTTTTTATTACTAAAAAGTATATAAAATAAAAATAAATAAAATTAAAAATATAAATAAAATATATATATATATATATAATAATATAAAAAATATATATATATATATATATATATATATATATATATATTTTATTAGAATACATACGAATAATATCTAGCTGCTAAATAATTAAAAGCAAGAAGTTGGAGATATCATAAAAAATATATGACTTGGTTTTAAAGATTTGAAGCTCCTAGAGTTAATTTTTAAATATATATTTTATTTTAATTTCAAAAGATTTAAGAAGAAAGTTTTGAATAAGGAACTTATGTCATATTTGATTTTGAAAAAGGTTGGATTTAAAAGAAAAAATGCGAATTTTAATTTAAATATTCATACTTAGAAGATGAGTTAAAATGATATGAATTTTTCATTTTTCATTTAGAAAAATATTAAAATAATACATATATAAAAATAAAAATATTAAAAAAAAAAAAATTTAATTGTTAACTTTAAAAAATAAAATTATTATCTTAAGTTAAATAAAATAAACAAAATTATTTATAAAAAAAAACATAATATTTATATTAATAATAAAAAAAAAATCATCAACAAGAATTACTAGCAAGTGGTAGATCACTAGTTTTATAATTATCCTAATCTATAACAGCCCAAGCAACTGAATAAGTAAACCCTTTAACAGTTTTAGCAATTTCACTATTTTCCCCATTTACGCACCAAGCTAAATTAGCGAATCTATAATCATTATCATAATGATTATAAACTCCTTTTCCTATATTTTAATCAAAAATTGAAATTTAGTTTGGCTTTTATTAACCTTTCGAAAAAACCTTAACAATAGGTTTTACTTTAATAATATTAGTATTATCTACTACTTAGTTATTTTCTGAAACTACTGGTAGTTTATAAAAAATTAGATACTTCGTATTTCCTAATTTTTCAATAGTTATAGATTCAGAACTTTTATTTTTTCCATCTGCATCTCCATGATACAACATTCCTCCACATTCCTTATCTTAATAAGAAGAATAGCAAAGCCATTTTTCTGAAAAGGAGTTTATGGTTCCATATAGGTCTAAATCTTATACAATATCAGTCTCCGAACCCCATTCTAACACAAAACGCATTTAATGGGCCTCTAATTCAGGTGATAGACCCACATCGAGTTCATTTTTAGACTCTATGACTTTAAATTACCTACAATTATCCGAATAGCCATCTTTTTAGACTAAAATAGTGTATAATTTGGCTTCTTATGTTGTATACATGAATTGGATTATTGTAGTTCCTTCTTAAGAGGTTTCGGCTACGAATATAGGCTTAATTGTAGATGGAGGTTCACATGAATTTTCGGGTTTAAAAGCCTCATATAAATATACTTTTGCATTTTATAGGGATTTATTATTTGAGAAATCTCTTATTTTTAAAATAAGTGGATGTTATTTAATTTCGAGTAGATTTCTGGGATTTTTAAGAGTTGAATGAGTTTTTTTCCTCAAAATATTATTATGAAAATGAGTACTTTTATTCTTTAATAATGGTAGTACACTCTATTCTTATTTTTGAAATAATTCGGGACTAATTTAATATGAAAAAACAATAAATTTAATCGCGCCCTTTTTACAAGCCCAAACCTAATTTCTGATAAAATTAACGACATGGTTCTACTCTCCTATTATTCCGAAATAATTCCCACATCCCTAACAATTAGCTTTGCAAGCGCTTTTTTCAACAATCAAATTTTACAAACTAACTGAAGAAGAGATGATTCGGACTTCATATTCTTAGAATTTCTCATTATATTTATATTAAAAGTCCTAAGGACATACATTATTCCCTTCCTTAATAGTTTAAATTATAACTAGAATATAAGAAGTGTCTACGCAAGCCTAATTATTCAAGCAATATACATTATTAGCATTCTAAGCATTAATATCAGCCAAAGTAATCTATTTATAACTACTATTTACCAATAAATCTTCTTCAATATGTTCGAATTTAATGCAGCCGTTAAATTCGTGGTTTTCAAAAGTAGGTTTCGACTCTTTTATTTCGATTTCGTTTTCAATCATGAGCACATTTTTCCTTTAAACATCCTTAACGTGATCTTTAATTCCCACAAAAAATGACCCAATAACCAAAAGTACGAAAAAAAATACAACGCAAATAATTTTAATATTTTTCGCTAATTCCTTTGAATTATTATTACTATTCCAATTTCCCAACGCACTTTAATGAAAAAGAAAACAAATAAGTCCAAAACATATAAAAATAAAAGCCAGACACAGCCCTCCTACCTTCAGGAAAGGCCTAGTATATATATTAACTACAGTTCCACAACATAACTACTACATACCGGCAATTCTTGGTTCTATATTAGCATTTTAATAAAGTTCATTTTCCCAAACTACTGTGAAATAATCTTTCGGTTCTTAGCCTGTAGTCCTTAAATTATTCACTAATTCGAAGCAATCATCGAATTTGCCGCCGCAATTTTTCGCGCTATTATTTTTAAAAATATACTTTTATTCACATCCTTATTCTTTTAAATAACTATATGACACATGTCCGAGTTCTTATGCACAATTCTCCTAGTAGAATTCTCCGGTTTTTACATATTCCCTAAATACATGACCCGTAGCAGGTACTACGAGGAATAAAACGAGTAAAAATAAAGACCCAATTATTAAACTGAGAATATTTTTCTTTCTAATATTCATCAAAGTGTTTAAAACAAGTAAAATTATGGAAAAAATGCACATTATTTTTAATAATGTAATAGGCCATTTCGTATATTGGAAAGAAGGATATTCATAAAGAGCCTAAAGTCCATATAAGGCATATAAAAGGTAAAAAGTAACATATAAAAGAGTTATTGAAAAAAGGAAAATCATTAATGTACATGTAGAAAAAGATTCTGTCATAATAAATGATATTAGGATATTTAAAATAAGCAAAATCGAAGTTAGACTAAAAAGAATATTTATCCATATTTTTTAAGCCTAGAAATTTTACTCATATTAAGCTTTTTAAGAAGAAGATACTGCACTAGCAGTATTAATAAGGTCTTGCTTTGCAAAGACAAATATTACAAAAAATATCACGAAAATTGTAAATAGGATTATAGATAAATATAATATTAGTTATGAAAGACGAGTGTTTGTTATTTAAGGAGTGTCGGATCTTATTAGTGATTTGTGGGTTATTATAGACCAGAAAATTAATAAGAAAGAAAATAAAGTTATTAGTAAGGTTGTAAGACCAAATCCTAAAGTAATACTATTAGATTGGGAAGAATTTAGTATAAATATATTAGTACAAAGGACGATAGTAAAGAAAGTTTAAAGACCCGCGGTTACTTTTTAGATATTAAGGAGAATAGATTTATCTATTTTACCCCATTACTCAGGAGATAAAGGTTTACCATCACTATATATCATTTTATTTTTTGATTTTTAAATTTTTTGTTTTAATTAATCGGTTATTTTATTTTATGTTTCTATTGTTGATTTTTTTAATATCAAAATAATGAATAAATATATTATTTATAATATATATATATATATATATATATATATATATATATATATATATATATATATTTACAATTTATATGATTTTATTTAAATTTTTTTTTGTATATTTTTTTCTGTTATATTTATATGTTTTTATTTAAATTTTGTTTTTTTCTGTATTAGTATTTTATAAATAGTTTTTTTTATTTCTTTTTTATATATATTTTTATATTTTAGTATAATTATTTAATAATTTCATTATAATTCCTTTTTCAAAAATAATATTTATTATTAAATTATTAATTTTTAATTAATATTTAATTTTGAAATTTTTTAATTAATAATTAAATTTTATATTTATAATTATTATAATTTATAATTTTTATTAAAATTATTTATTTATTTATATATAATCAAACTATTTAACTATATTAAATTTTAAATATTAATTATTATCATATATATATATTTATTTATTTTTAACTAAATTTAATTTTTTTTAATAATTAAAAAAAATTATTAATTAAATATAAAATATTTAATAATTATAAATCAATAATTTTTATATATATATGTATAAATTAAATATTTTATTTTGAACTTAAAAATTTTTAATTGTATTTATATATTATAATTTATTATCTATTTAAATTATATTAAAGTATCATTACATAAAAGAAATTTTATGTGGTAAAGTTTAGGGATCATAAGTAAATCCATTTATATTTGGTAAATCCATAGGATCGTTAGCTGGAGTTTCCATTATTGGTTTCGGCCTTTAAAGTTTTTATTTACTTTTCTATATGTATTATTTCAAAGGGCTTTCGTATTATTTACTATAAAGTCTTTCCCAATCAATAGTTTCATAAAACGGATGTGCTCTTATTTCTACCCAACTAGGTCTATCTTTTGGTTCATTATTTAAACATTTGAGAATCAAATCTTTAGCTTCTGGGCTAAATTCTTTGGGGAAAACAGGATTATTTGCCAAAATTTATTTCATAATAATATTCCAATTTCTTTAAGGATGAGTGAAAGGAGGTTATCCGCTAATCAATTCAAAAAGGAGAATACCAAAAGACCAAATATCACATTTATTTGTATATCCCTTTTAATCATTTGATTATTTACAAATAATAATTTCTGGTGCAATATATTCAGGAGTACCTAAAAATGTATATGTTAATTAATCTTAATTATCCATTTTTTTTCCCAAACCAAAATCAGTAATTTTAACATGTCCATCTTCAGAAACTAATATGTTTTCAGGTTTTAAATCTCTATATATAATTTTCATTTTATCATGTAAATATTCTAATCCTTTAAATATTTATTATTTAAATATAAAAAAATGTATCGATATATATTAAAATATATATAATATATATATATATATATAATATATATATATATTTATATTTTTATATGCCTAATACTATTTCAGCAGTTATAAATTTCGATATTTCTAAAGTAAATTTTTTATATCTAACTACATAAGAATATAATTCACCTCCTGTACAATATTCCATGACTAAATATAGTTTTTTTTCTGTTTAAAATGAATATTTTAATCTTACAAGAAATGGATGTTTATTTTCTAAAAGGACATTTTTTTCTATTAACATTTTTCTGTTTAAACTTTATTCCATTATTTTTGATTTTTTTATTATTTTCATAGCAAATTTTTTACCATTGCTTATTTTTTTCACTAAAATAACATTCCCAAAAGCTCCTTCTCCTAAATCATTTAGTTTTTAAAAATCTTTATAATTTACTTATTGTTTTTCTTCAGATTTTTTAGACGTTCCGATTTCGTTTATATTTATATTTTATTTTGGTTAATTTTAGTTTGGTCGAATGTTACGTATACTTGTTTATTGCTATATTTGAGTTTTTTATTAATTATTTATTAAATTTATTGTCTCATTATTTATGTCTTCAGCCGTTTATTTTTTTGATTAGCCTTTATCACATATTTTAGAACATAACTATCCCATTTTTATTTCAATTTTCTAATTAATACTATATAAAGTGCTAATTAATTAAAAAAAAAAAATTTTGTTAAAAAAAAATATAAATATAAAAATTAATAAAATTTAAATAAAAATTAAAAAAAGTATGATTATAAATGTATTATATTATTAAATAATTAAAATAAATAAGATTATATTAATTTGATATTTTTTACTTTTTATAAAAGAAAAACAATTTATTTATTTTAATTTGTAAATCAATTTACATATATAAATTTAAAATAATTTTATTTATTATTTTTAAATTATTTATAAATAATTATATAAAAAAAGTAAAAAATTTAATATTTATTTTATATAATTAAACAAAAATAATAATAAACAAATATATAAATTTTAATTTCAATTTTTTTATTTTATAATTTTAGCAATTTCCAATGCTTTTAATACACAAGAACTTGAATTATTTTATTTATTTTATAATAACTCTATTTATTTTTTAAGTTTACTAGCTTTTAACTCTTCCTAAATAGTTTTTTATTACAATTAAATATATTTTTATTCTAAAATTTTATAACAGCTTTCCAAAATATGTTTATTTTTTAATAATTTTTTTTAATTTTAATTTTATTGTAAAATCTTTATTTTATGTTCTAGGCTTTATTTTTATTATTATAAATAAACCATTTTTTTTTCATTAGTTTATAAATTTTCTTTATCTTCCTTATATTCAAAGATATTACCATCTTTTTTCAAAAAATTATTTTATTATTCTAAACTAAAAATTTTTTATAAATAATCAATTTCTTTTTATTTATTATTCTCCTATTATTTTCTCTAACTTTATTTTAAAAACTACCCATTATTATTTAATTATTATTTAACACAATAAATTTTTTACAATACTTTTTTATAGAAATCTGAATCTTTTTCAATACTAATTATTTCTTCTAAATTATTTAAATTAGTGCTCATATTATTATTATTTGGAGTAGTTTAAACTCTTTTTGCGCTTTCGTTTTTCGTTTTTTTTTAATTATTATCACTATTTAGAAATTTCTTCTCTTATTATTTTACCTAACTTGCATTATTTCCTTACAAAATATCTATAAAATTCTTATTTTTTAATTGCTATTGTTTTTAAATTAAATTCGAATTTTTAAAACTCTCACAACTACTATTATTCTTGTTTGCGTTTTAAAAAATTTTATTACTTGCACTTTTTATAATTAAACCCATATTAATATTTGTATTATTACTTATTTATGTATTATTATTATTATTTGTTTTATTATTGTTATATATATTTAATGATATTTTTCTTGATGTATTTTAACAACTGTTACTGTTTTTCTAAATTCCTTTTTCTTATATTATATTATCGCTTTTTTCAGTTATAAAGCATGTAGAAGAATTAGTTATATTTTAAGTACTTTACTTATTAAAATATTATTATTATTATTGTTATTTTTATTATTATTACTATTACTGAATATTTACTTAATTATTAATTGTATTTGGATCTATAGATTTCTTTGATGATATCGGTCGTGGAATGTTTTAAAATGCGCATGTACGTTTATATTATGATATACTATCTAGGCTCATACGTGTAAACATTTATTATTAATGCAATTATTTGTTAATATTTTATTTGATTTTATACTTTTTAATTATGATTAAATATTATTTTGTGTGAAATTAGTAAATATATATAAAAATATATATAACTAAATATATATATATATATTTTTATTATATTTATACATTTAAATAATATTATTTATTAATTATCATTAATTAACGAATATTATTATTATTATTTTCTTTACATAAAAATGCATTTAAAATATAAAATATAAAGTTTTGTTAAATATGCCAATTATGATTCTTTTTATATTAACTATAAAAAATTTATATAACTAAATTAAAATATAACTATTTTTAACAGTAATATTTTATTAAAATATAATTTATATTTAAAAATTTTCATAATATAAATTTTCCTGTCTTTTATAATTTTATTAAAAATGATTCTTTTAATATAAAGTAAATTCTATTTAATTATAATTATATATATTATTTCGTTGCTTTATTTTTTTTGAACATAAATATTTTTTTAAATAACAACTTTTTTTTTTATTATAAACTTAAAAAATTTATTTAATTAATTATTAATATAATAAAATAATAAATATTTTTTTTTTAAAAAAAAAAATTGTATTTTCTCTCTAAAATAAAAACATAAAATATATTAATAATAAATTTATATTTAATTAAAAAAAAAAATCATTAAATCTATATTAATTATATATGTTTTTATTTTATGTTATTCTTCGTATTATTTTTTATAGAAAATCTTTTAAAATATTTTTATATAAAATTAATTTTTAAAATTTTATATAAGTAATTTTTATAATAATTATTTAAAAAAAAAACAAAACAAAACAAATTACAGATAGAAAATTAAATAAAAATAACCCCAAAAAATACAACAAAAATAATTAATAAATAATGTTTAAATTAAACATAACAATTAAATTAAAATAACTATAAAAATAAAACAAAAATAATTCAAAAATAAGTTTAAATTAAACCTAATAATTAAATTAAAATAACTATAAATATAATTAATAAATAAGTTTATATTAAACCTAATAATTAAATAAAAATAACTATAAAAATAAAACAAAAATAATTAATAAATAAGTTTATATCCAACCTAATTTATTAATAATAAAAACAAACCAAAAATAAAAAAAAAAAAAAACTTAAACCAAAAATAAAAAATAAAAAAAATCAAATTTCTTTTTATTTAATTTCCAGATTATCATCCGAATCATCCAATTAACTTGTATGTAAAAACGATTTCCTATCTCTACCTTTAGTTTAAGGTCCTATATACATTAAAATAGTCGGTAAGAACATTAATCCTTAGAAAATACCTAAAAAGATAATTGCCATATACATTCTAAAATAATAAAGTCTAAACATTGCACTAGTAGCGAATCCAAGTACAATAACCCCAATAAATTTAGTACTTGCGATTCCCACAAGAATATTCGATCCCATTAATTTGACTGCATTTTCAGTTTTTTCTTATCTAGTACCTTAACTATTCATATAAGAAATAACTAAATGTACACAAAACTCAACACTTAGACCTACACAAGTAACTAAATTAACTACACTAATAGCATTTATTTCAATTTTATATCCATTAAGTATAATATTTGATAACCATGATATCTTAATTATATTTGTTTTAAATTAAAATATGTAGATATAAATATATAATTTTTACTCCTATTAGATTAAATGTTATAGCAAAAACATTTAAAGAAACAATTATTGCTGCAATACCATTTTTAATAAAGTTTATAGCTATATATACAGCTCCTATTGCTAATAGCATATTTTAAATGGCAACAGCTCTGATTTCTGTATATTAATCATAATAAGAGTATATCAAAGAATAAGAATATGCATTTTTATTTGAATTCGAAGGTTAAAAATTGTTTGAATTATCAACGGCTTGTCTTGTTTATTAAAACGCTTTTATAAAATCATTACTAGTAATAACTATTTTTTTATTATATTTTTTTTATTTAAAAATAAAATATTTAAATTTACCAGGTTTGTGTTAAAATCTTAAACGAGATGCCTTTATATTACCATCTGCGTCAAAAATAATATCTTTATTAAACTATTCACCACAAATTCCATATTTTTAACAACAAACAGAATTAACTTTCACGTCTATAAACTTTTATACTTAAACTTCGAAAGGATATTAATCAATATCTCCAGTACCACAATCTGTTGCCCACATCTATTTAGGATTTCTAAATTAATTAAAAGTAGCGATCCATGAAAAAACAGGAGGTTATACAGTTTCTTATAACAAAGATAATGCGTTTGAAATTTAATTAATAACATCTATATCATTTTAATTTTTATAATCTAATAAAATATTATTAAATAAATATATGAAATAAATATAATATATATATATATATATATAAATATATATAAATATATTAATTAATATATCTTTATATATAATATAAAATAATAATATATATTTATACCTATATTTTAAAGAACTAAATATGCTAATGGTCCAATTTCTATATATTAATTATATTTATCAAAATAATTGTTTAAATCGGATCCACTTACAAGAGAAACTTATTAATTAAGTCCAGTATCTAATTAAAGGCATCCTAAAATTCCTATTACAATCAATACAATAAACAGTAAAAGATTAAATACATGAAACATCTAATTTTTAAGAACCGGAATATAATATTTAGAAATCATTTATTTTACAAAATCTTCTCTTGGTCTTTCAGGTTCACTATCTTTTTTATAAAAAATATTTAAAATTTAATAATATAAATATATATATATAAATTTACTTCCAAAACAGAAAACAATATCATATTTTCCTTTAATTTTTCTTTACTCATCCCAAGCTAATATAGCTACAAAAGTAGTAATTTAGAAAATGTAATACGAAAAAAATGGCAATAGCAGCCTATATGCAAAAAGTTTATAAAGCTGGAATTTTAGTAAACATACCAACAGTAAAAGCTAATATTTCAGAAATAGCAGCTGCAGTAATAGAAGGCCCAACTTCAGTCATTCCTGACCTAACCCTTTCTTCTAAACTTTCTCCTTCTGCACTTTTAACGGCATTGCTAATAATGAACATATTATCAACACCAATAGCTAAAATTAAAAAAGGAATAACTTCAACCTATAGGAATATAAAAAAATATATTTATATATAAATATATATAAAAATATATATAAAAATAAATATATATAAATATATATATATATATTTATATATATTATATAAATATATATTTCATATTTACAGATATCATAGTCATCCCGATTTTTATAAAAGACATGAATCCCATAGAACAAGCAATTGAAAATAATACTAAAACAATACCAGAAAATCCTATTAGAAATCCTGAGTGTGTTTTAGAAGGAAAAGAACCTATGGAAATAGAAATGTAAACAAACATCAAACTATATGAAAGTGCTACTACCCATAAATTTTGGCTTGCTTCAGTTACCAAATCATCCGAAATTCCTCTTTATGCCATAAATTAAACATCTAAATCAGGCCAATTATCAACATTTTTGTAATCTATTTCAATGGTTTCATTTAAATATTTTGAAAAATCTAAAGTTTTATTTCTAAAAGCAAAAACTGTATCTGCAAAAACTTACTTTTCCCAATCATTAGCTATATCCTAAGTAAACTTATCATTATTAAATAAATAGGTAACAATTAAAGCCTAAGCTTACAACCAACAATGAGAACAAGGCAAATCATCATGCTCATAAGATTCACAATAAGATCCACCAACAACAGCTTCCTCTATGAAAATATAAATATATATATAAAATTTATGTATAATTTTTAGATTTATTAAAGTTTATTTTAAAAAATGAAATGATAATTTTTTTTTATTTACTATAAATATGTAAATTAATTATTTCATTCATAAAAATATATAAATATATTTAAGTATTTATATATATATATATATTTATATATATATAATTTTAGTTATTTATATTATTTAATACTTATAACTGGAATGCTATTAGAATCTGTACATGGAATTAGTGTAGTTTTTGTATTAGCTTCTATACATAAAGCATCTTTTTATAGTGCTTTTCTTGGATCTATTCTATCTTTTGGAGGTATATAGTCTTAATTTGCTCTTTCATTTAATAATGTTATATTCATTTTCCAATAATCCATAGGTGAAGTAATTAAGCAACCTTTATTAGAAATCGGTTTATAACAAAGTTAATCAGCTGTAACATTTTATCCATTTCTTTAAAAGGAACGAGTATTTATGACTTTTTATAGATAGTATAACCATTTTAAAGGTTCTATATCGAATAGATTCGGTAAATCTTACTATTCTTAATCTTTTTATTATTTTAGAATATCATTTAAATTCCTATTTTTTGAATTAGTGCATGTTTTGATTGATTTTAGTTTAGATTTAGATTCATTATTTGTTGAATTTTTGAAATTTTCTCCAGCAGAAATTATTAGTTAGTTCACTCTAAAAAATTCGCCGAAATTTTTGTTAAAATTTCTCTGTTCTTCATATGTACGACCAGATGGAGGTGCCCATAATTTTTAAGGATCACTTTCCATTTTTAAATTTAATATACCTAGAGAAAATACTGCGGTTATTACTATACTAAATAAGATTACTATGAATTTATTATTTATACTTATTACAGCTAATTTACCAAATTAATTACCAAAACCCATTTTTTTTTATTTGTATTGTTTATATTATTTATTTTTTAAAAATAAAAAATTGTTTTTTTTATTAATTATATTTATAGCTTTTATGCTTTTCTTTGTTTTGTTTTATTATTAATATATAAATATTTATAAAGCTATTAATAAATATTTTTTTCTTATATTTTTTATCCTATACTTAATTATTCTTTTATAAAATTTTTTATATAATTTTTATGTGAATTATGTTTAAAAGCATATTTATTTAATAATATTATAAAAATATAAAATTATTAAATATTATAAAAAAAAAGTATATATTTTTTTCTCCTTTTATAAAAATATAAACAAATAAAAAAAAATATATATATAAATTATGTAATATAAGAAAGAAATAAGTAAATATATAAAAAAAACAAAATAATTAATAAAAATAAAATAATGTATATGAAAATAAGTATATATTGTTATAGATATAAGAAAAAATAATAAATAATAAATAATAAATAATAAATAATAAATAATAAATAATAAATAATAAATAATAAATAATAAATAATATATATAATTTTTTTTATAATTAATTTTATTTAATAATTTTTTTTTTATTTTTTTAAAATATCTATTAATTAATTTAGTTATTATATATATATATTTTTTAATTAAAATTTTTCATAATTTTTCTTTAATATTCTTTAAATTTTAGCAAATTTTATCAACTATTGAATTTTCTTTTTCTTCTTCAAAAAAAATGTCTTGAATAGCATTATGTATTTCTAAAATTACTTATTACCATCTTTCGTTTTTTATTTATTTTCTTTGTATTTTCTACATTACAATTAAATAATTAACTGCATTTAAAATTTATATTTTTATATATTATATTTAATCCTAGTTTTAAATTTAAACTAAAAATGTGTCTAATACATTATTCTCCAGTAAATAATTACTTTGTTCATAATCAGTTAATTAACAAATTTTTGATAATATAAAAACGGCCTAATTTTAAATATTAAAATTTGTATTCTTAATTGCTTAAAATATAATAAATTCTAAAATTTTATACTTTTATTAAAAAAACACTAAATCAACAATTTATTAATTTAAATTTAAGCCAAAAATATTTTCTAAAATTAAAAATAATTTTATTTCAATATTTTTATTTACACCTTCCTATATTAAACTTTCCAAAACATCAAAAATTCCGATTTCAATAATTTAAATAATGTTATAATCATCTAATTTTTCAATAATTTATTCATTAAAATGCAAACAATATTCCCAAATGCATTCTCTTTTGTATATAATAACATTAATTTTAATAAATACTTCATAAAAAAACGATACAAAAGAATTTAATAAATCTTCCTATTAATTAAAAGCACTTTGAATAATATTTAAAATACATTCTAATAAATCTTACATCCTTATATAGTCTTTATTTGTATATTTTTAAATAGTTACTAAATTTAATATTTAAATACAAGCATTAAATTAGCTAAAACTATATGATTAATCACAAAAACTAATATTTTGCAAAAAAAAAATTAAATTGTCATCTATAAAATTTTCTTTATTTTTCAATAAAAATAAAATTTTTTCAAATAATTTTTCAGATTAAAAAATCTGATATAAAATATCCAATATATTTTCAGATATTAAATTTCAAAGTAAAATAAAAATATAATCATAATAATTTTCAAATTATTCAACAATAAATAACTCGTTTAATAAACTTTAAAAAATTAAATTGTTTATTTTTTAAGTTGATTCACTAGTAATTGAAGTTATTTATATTAAAATTAAATAACAAATATGTATAAACTATATATTTTTGCATATAAAATAAATAATTATAAAAATATATGATATATTTATATTATAAGTAAATAAAAAAAATCATAAATAAATATATATATATATATATATATATATATATAAATTTTTATATATTTAATACCTTTTCTTATTTTTTTCCAATTTTTATTATATTTATAAGCTTTTCAGGTAATTCAGACTCTATTAATATATTAAATAAAAAATTTTATTTATTTATATATGTTTATAAATGTATTTAGTTTAGTTTTTATATTATTTATTCATTATTATTAATTATTTCTTTAATTTATATTAATTAATCATTTATATCTTTAATTTTTAACTCTGTTTGTATTTCATAGGGTTAGTTAATTAATTGTTTTCGTTTTTATTGTAATAAAGATTTTTACCTTTATTTTCTTAAATGTATGCGAAATTATTACTTTTTTTATTATATTGCTTATTTCCAATCTATATCATTTAATGTTTATTGTTACATTTTTTTTTTATTAGTATTTAAACTTTAGTAATATAAAAAATATATTTTTTTTTTATATTTTTGCTAAATCTAAAAAATAAAATTATTATATAAAAATACAAAATATATAATAATTATTTTATATATAAATAAATGTAAAAAGATATTATATTCTACAATTTTTTTTTTTTTAGATAATTTTTTATTTTTTCATTTCACTCTAAACGACTTAATTAGATAATTAAAATAAAATAAAATAATCAAAAGTATAAAATAAATAAAAGTGAATTAATAGAAAATAAATAATATTTATTTTTTTGATAAAAAAAAAACTAAAAATGTTTTTATTTAAAACTTTCTTAAACATCTAAAAATCATAATTTCTTAAAAAATTTCAAAATCGTTGTTAATTCACCGCTTCCCGTGAAACCGAAGAGCCGCCCTATGATGAATTAACACGTGATTTTTTAAACCCTAAAGACTTCTACGATCTCCTCTAATAGAACGACATAACATTTTACACAGGCGTTCCTGATTCACTCTTAGAGGACTTCTGTGCCTACGTAACTGACAAATGCGACCCTAAAAACCACATAATTACCGCAAACGAAGGATCTGCTTTAGCAACAGCCGCTGGATATCATTTAGCGACAAATAAGGTGCCTTTAGTATATTTATAGAATAGTGGTTTAGGTAATATAGTGAATCCGTTAATGTCTTTAGCCCATCGAAAAGTCTATGGGATCCCTATGCTTTTATTAATAGGGTGGAGAGGTGAGCCTGGTAAGAAAGACGAGCCCTAACACCTAGTTTAGGGTTAAACAATGAACAGTTTAATAACTGAAATGGGTATATAATTTGAGGTTTTGCCTGATTTTATTGAAGGAGCGACCGAAGCTATTGAGAGTGCGATTTAACATGCAAAAAAAAGAAAACACCTTATGCTTTAGTAGTTAAAAGGCAATGTTTTACTAATTATAAACTAATAAATAAGACATAAAATAATTATACACTAGGCCGAGAATAGGCAATGGAAATAATTATTCCTTTATTAAAAGAACATGATGTAATAATAGGCACTACAGGATTTTTATCTCGAGAACTGTACGAAATACGTACCAAAAATAAATAAACTCATGAAAAAGATTTCCTCACTGTAGGTTCAATGGGACACGCTATTTCTATAGCAATTGGAATAGCCTAAGTTAAATAATCAAGATAAGTGTGGTAGTTTTGATGGAGATGGAGCATGTATTATGCATATGGGAGCTATGGCTACAGTAGGATAGCTTAAGTAAAAGAATCTAAGGCATATTATTTTTAATAATTAGGCGCACGATAGTGTAGGAGGTTAACCTACAGCAGCTTCCAATGTTGATTTTTGTAAATTAGCCCTTAGTTTAGGTTATAATAATGCTTATTTGGTTTAAAATGAAAATTAATTAAGCGAAATTATCTAAAAATAAGATACGAAGATGGGCCAATATTAGTTGAAGTTTAAGTGAAGATTGGAGCAAGGAAAAATTTAGGAAGACCAAAAACTAAACCTTATGAAAACAAAGAAGCTTTTATGGAATATTTGAATATTTGAATTTATATGTATATATATATTTTATACATAAAAATTAATTTTATTAGTTATTTTTTAATATTAATTTAAAATAATTAATATTTCTTAATTTAATTATATTAATTTAAATTAATTTTTAAAAATAAGATATAAATATCAAGATATGTATGTTATAAAAAATTAAATATAGTTAAATTATAATATAATTAGAAGTAAAAATGTAATAATATTATTTAATTATATCATATTGTATTTAATATATACAAATCTTATAAAAATTGAAAAACATATTAATAATAAATATATATATTATTTTATAAAATTAAAAAATATTAAAAAAAAGTATTTTATTATTAATATAGTATTTTTAATTTTAAAATTAAAAGTATTAAAAAAAAAAAAAAATTATCGTATGATTGATAAAAATATACTTAATATGTATAAAATAATATAAATTCTATAAGTAAAAAAATATTTCTAAATTGAAAAAAAATAAAAAATTAAATATTAGTTTTTTAAAAAAAGATAAAAATTAAATATATATACAAAAAATATATATATATATATATTTATTTTTTTTATATATATATATATATATATATATATTTAATAAAAAAAAAAAATTCATAATTATTATAAATTATTTGTTAATTAGAATTAACTCATATTTATTTTATATATCCACATATTTTTTTATATTATTTTATAATTTTGTTTTTTCATTTATTAATTAATTTTTGTTACTTGAATTAAAAATTTATTATAAAATATAAATATTTACAAAGTATATATAAATATAACTTTAATATTTTACAATTTCATTTAATAATATTTTTACTAATAAGAATAATTAATTAAACATTTTTATATATATTTATAAATATATTTATATAAAAATTAAATATATCATTTTTAAAAATTAATTACTGTTTTTAAGTAATATTTTATTAAGTTTTTCATTTTTTTTTATATATATATTAAAATACAAAGATAAAAATAATATAATTATATAAATATATAAATATATTAATATATATAAATATAATAAATATATATATATATATATATATTATTATAATATTTTTTTTTAATGCGTTTTATACAAATTTAAAACTTATTATATATTTTATTTATAAATAAAAAAATAGTATTTTAATATAAAAAAAATTATAAAATATTTTTTATAAAATTTAAATAACTATAACCTTTTTTTTTTAATTTGTTTTTTTTTAAAAATAAAACTATATAAAAAAATTTATAATGTCTGAAAATTAATATTCATAATAGTATTTTTATCTTTAAAAAGTATTAAGCGAATCTCATTTAAATAATTAATTTTCTGATTCTAATTAGTATTAAATCTCACCTTTTAATTAATAAGAATTATAGAATTAATCCAAGACATAATAATCCTATAAAAATATCGATAGTAATTTTTAGAAAATTATTTTATTTTATTATAATATAAATACATAATTTTTTTTTAAAAAAAAGATTCCGAAAACGAAAACATTAAACTACGTTTAAAACAATCAAATGTAAAATAAATATATTTATTGTATATTAATTAAATAAAAAAAAATAGGACTTTCTAAATCAAAATAAATGTTAATTTTCTTTAAAATTATAATAACAAGCATTAAACTAATAAATACTAAACTAATAAATAACAAATAAATAAATATCAAATTAAAATATTTCAAATTAATTAACAAACTATGCTTCTTAATTGTTTTCTAATTAATTAAGTTTGAATAATTTAAATGAAAATCTAGAGTAAATACAAACAAAATACAATAATTATATTTTATTATATTTATAAATAAAAAAAGTGATTCAAAAAACAAATATAATAATCTATTAGAAGAAATAATTAAATTAAGAGAAAAAAACATTGAATTATAAAACGATAATTAATAATTTGCTTAATTATTGTAAATAATATTAAAATTAAAAAAATTATTAATATATAATATATATATATATATATATATATATATATATATATATTGTAGATTAAAATAAGAATCAGATAAATATTTAAAGCAATCTTAATAAATACCAAAAAACTAAAATTTATAAAATTCTTTAGAAGTTTATTAATTTAACTAAAATTTAATAAAATAGCAAGAAGAAACAGTTTAAAAAGAAAAACAAATAAACTAAATTTAATCTAATTTAAATAATAAAGAATAATTATTAAAAATCTAAGATGAATAAATATAAAAATACAAACAAGAATTGATGAAATTAGTTTAATAATTAAGAATAAAAGAATAAGAAATATTAGAATTTAATAACTAATAAAATGAAATAAAATGCCTAAAAGAAAACTTTTAAAACTAAATAGAATAAAATAGATAAAAAGAGTAAATAAAACAATTTGAAATTATAAATAAATACGAAAGCGAGATCGAATAAATGTTATTAACTCTAAAAAATAAAGAAGATGATATTTTAGATTTAAATAAAGCCTTATTAGAACACTAAAAAGAAATAACTAAATATACTGAAAAAAATATATATTTAGAATAAAAAGTAAACGAAAATAATTTATATTTAGAATAAAAATTAAATGAAAAGAATTTATTTTATGAATAAAAAATAAACGAAAACAATTATATTTTAGAATAAAAATTAATTTAAAAAGAAAACGAAAACAAAAAACTTATTTTTGATTTCGAATAAAAATTCTAATAAGAAAACGAGAATTTTTAAACTTAAAAAAATGAAAAATACAAAGACGAATTATTCAGTTTAGTATAATAAATAAGAGAAAAAGACGAATAAAACTTCGATTTATAAATCAAATTATAAAACCTTTAAAAAAATGATATTCCTTTTTTAATTGAAGAAAACGAAAAATTAAAAAAAGAAATTTAAGAATTATAAAAATAATAAATTTCTTAAAAAAGCATTAATAATAATTAAACTGAAATTTTCAATTTATTACAATAAATAAGAATTAAAGATTAAGAAATACTTGATATTAAAAATGCATATAAATGTATATAAATATAATTAAATAATACCTAATAAGAATGTTAAAAACAACTCCAAAATAAAGAATAAGAACTTAATTTGATAATAAATAAAACCATATAAGAAAAGAAAACATATTAAGAAAAAAGCATTCAAGAAGCCGAAAATAAACTTCTAAAATTACACGAAGAATTATAAAATTTACACGAACTAATAAATTATAAAGATTTATAAATTATTAAATTAGAAGAAGAAAAAAATAATATAAATACCAAATATATATCATAAGAATAAGAAATAAAAGAATTATAATTAAAATCTAAAAGCTAAGAAGTCTAAATAAATATTCTAAAAAACGAACATAACTAATTATAGAATAAAGATCTTTAAATTTAATAAAAATAAATATAAATTATTCAAGTACAGGAATTAAATTTTTAAAAAATCGAATAATTATAGAAACAATTAAATATAAAGGAAACTGAAAATCAAGAACTTTCGAAAAATATACTTTCTTTAGAAAGCACTTTATAGAAAATCAATCAAGAGAAATATTAAATTAATGAAAAACTGAGCTTTTTAGAAAAAATTAATTAAGAAAATGAAAATAAAATTAATAATGAGGTTTTAGCTGAAAATAACTATTGGAAAAAGTAATTCGAAATGGCTAAAAACGATGTTTTGGTACTTTCATAAAATATATAATAATTATAAGTTTTATTAGAATAAAAAGATTAGATTATGATTAAATTTAAGTTTTAAATTATTTATATTTATAATAAATTTATATTATAATAATATATAGAGTTGAAAATGAGTAAAATAATTAATAATAATAATAAAAAGTGATTCAAGAAACTTTATAATTAAAATAAATAATTCAAAAAAAAGATTAAGAAATTAATAAAATCAAATCGGAATAATATAATTCTATATAGACACTTCAATAATAAGATGAAAAATATATTTAATAATACATTAGTTAAATTTAGTAATTAAATTAATTTTTTTTTATTAAATTATTAATTATATAGGAATAAAGAAGAATAAATAATAGATTTGAAATAAAGATTTGCTTATTATGTAGAAAGTAATAATGATAAAAATTATGAAATTGATTAATTAAAATAATAATTAGAAAATATTAAAAATTAAAATAACAAGTTAAAAATATTTATATATATATATATATATATATATAAAAATATATATATATATATATAACTTATTTTAAATTTTAATTAAAGACTTAATTAAGAAATTAATGAATAATAACAATAAAAAAATAAGTAAATAATATTTTTTTTATTTTTTTAAATAAAATAAAAAGAATTTTCGTAAAATCTAATAGCAAAAATAATTTAAGAATGTAAAATATATATTTTTAATTAATTTTTAATATAAATAATAATATTTAATATAATTTTTTCATTTATTTATAAATATATATTTATAAAAAAAAGTCACAATGAACTTTATAGATAATTATGAAACAAAAAAAAATATTAATTTTAATATAAAAAATATATATCCATCTTAAATAGCATCTCCATTAAAATATAATTTTATAAATATAAATGATAAAAAAAAAATCAAATATATAAATTTTAAATAGTTTTTATAATAATATTTTATTATTTAAAAAAAAGAAAAAACTAAACAAAAAGCATTTTATTTTATCAAATTAACTAAAAAAAAAAAAAAAAACCCTAAACAAGATAAGAAAAAAAAAAAAAAAAAAAAAAATAGAAAATTAACAATAATTTAATAAAAGCTTTAAAAAAAAAGAACATAAACATTGATATAAATAAATACATAGATTTTTTAAAATAATAAAAAAAGCAATCAGATGAAATAAGCCTATCAGCATCCGAAACCCTATCCCGAAATTCATCATTTATGTAAAATTAAACTGATTTAAATTTTAGAGTAAGAGAATTAACCAAAACATCA